GCATTAGAATAAAAGTATAGAGTAAGAAAAGTGAAATTAGCTTCTAATTTGAGACTCAGCTCGTTTTTGTCTGTGTTTTGACTGAATCTGCTGAGTTCTTGTGTGTCCAATAGTGTTTGTTTGTTTTTATTTTTGATTTGTTTTTTTGTTTGTTTATTTACTTTTTTTTGTTTTGTTTTTTTCCTTTTTTTTAATAATTTTATTTAATATTTTTTTTTTGGATTTTTTTTCTTTTTCCACTTTATTGATTGATCAAATTGAGTGATCACATGTGATTATGTGATCAAAGGGGAGAGTGATAGTATTAGATAGCAAATATGGCCTACGTGCAGGACTGTACAAGGACTCTACAAGGACTCCATGTTATGACTATGATTTGACTGTCTCTTTGTGACACGTATGTCTTTCGATGTGTGACGTGACAATGACTATATAAACTGTGTACTGCCTTTATTCTGTCTGGGAGAAAGAAACAAAGTAAACCACTGGAACTTGAGAGAAACTTAAATAAACTTCCAGAGTTTGGCACACCACGATCCGTCTCTGTCTGCTTCATCCTGACAAAGCGACTGAAAAATAAATTCAGATCGTCAGCTAGCTTGTGGTCGTCAGCACAGGGGGGGGCTTTGGGCTTGTAGTTGGTGATCTCCCGTAGGCCCCTCCAGACAGAAGCAGTATCGTTGTTACCAAACTGCTCCTGTAGTCGTTCTCTGTGCCGGGACTTGGCTGCTTTCAGTTCGTCCCTGAACTGATATTTAGCTGCTTTGTAGCCGCTGCGGTCCCCCTCCCTGAAAGCAGACTCCTTTGCTTTCCTGAGCTGCCGGAGCTGAGCGGAGGGATCGGATGTACAGTATCATGGAGTGATCTGAGAAGCCGAGGGCTGCTCGCGGAACAGCGCGAAAAGCTCCGCGCACGGTGGTGTAACAGTGATCCAGAGTGTTCTCCTCTCTGGTGGGGCATTTGATAAACTGTCTGTATTTGGGTAATTCCTGGCTCAAGTTTCCCTTATTAAAATCCCCCAGGATAATAATCAGAGAGTCCGGGTATAAACATTCCATACACAGTACTTGCTCTGCAAGTGCGCGCTGAGCCTCGCGCGCGTCCGCGCATGGCGGTATGTAAACAGAGGCAAGAATGAATGAAACAATTTCCCGCGGGGAGTAATATGGTTTACAATGAATGAAAAGATATTCCAGAGCAGGAGAGCAGTGCTTGGAGATCACTGTCACATTGTTACACCAGTTTGTATTGACGTAGAAACAGAGCCCTCCGCCTCTGCTCTTCCCTGAGAGCGCACAATGGCGATCCGCGCGGAACAGCCCAAAGCCCTGCAGCTCCAGAGCGCAGTCCGGGATCCGCTCATTTAGCCAGGTCTCAGTGAAGCAGAGGACACAGGATGTGGCGAAGTCCTTGTTTCTTCTCATGAGCAGGCTGAGTTCGTCCATCTTATTGCCCAGTGAGCGTAGGTTGGAGAGAAAAATGCCGGGGAGAGCCGTGCGCGCTCCTCTCCAAGACGCACGAGCAGGCCTCCGCGCTTTCCCCTTTTACGGGCCCACACTTTTTTGCCTAGAACATGAACTAAATCAGCCGCAGATGCCAAGAAAACAGGCAATAGGTCCATGGGAACGGTGGGTCGGATGTTCATAAGTTCCTCACGGGTGTAGGAACAGCCAGATGCACAGTTAAAAAGTAAAAACAAGAGCAGCAAAGAGCCGTGGCGACCGTACGAGGCGCTATCTTGTAAATTGATCATAATAATGATAGTAATAATGACACTAATAATATGAGTTAATAACAATAACAACATAATAGTATAGTGATTGTAAGAAGATAATAATAAGGACACAGTATTGCAATAATAGGAAAGTGAAAGGCAAGGTGAAGTAATGACAGTTTGGCAGGATACATATTGACATACATAAAAAAATATATATATATTATAATAATGATAAAAATAAAAACAAAATAATCTGTTAATGGGAACATCAAGTAGCCGCAGCAGCATTATCAGCTTTACTAAATCCAATTATTATTCTTAATTATTGTATATTGTTGTAATTTATATAAACATTAATTTAGTATATAATAGATATAATAAAATAAATATGAATTGTTTTGTAGTTATTTTAAATTATTTATAAATAAATTACTTATTATTATAAAAATTAATTATGAATAATAATGTACCTGTTCAAATGTCAGAACCACAATCTGCACCTGTGCTTAAACCAGTGGTGGCGGGTCCCGGTTCAAAAGTGGCCAAAATGACGTGCGCTGACATGCTTGAAATACCACCCCGGGCCGATGGGGGTGGAGCCGGAATAAGAATTAGTCAATACTAACATATAGCATCTTCTTACCACTGGAAAACGTCTTTACAGGATGGTCCAAAAGTTGGCTCTTGGCCCAAAGCTCCGTTCCACATGTGTGTCAATGCGAAACCCCTACATCCAATCTCTACTGGTTTGTAACAGGCTCTCCAGCTGTTGGACCAGCACTCAGCTACGAGCTCAGAGTTGAGTGAAGGGATTGCAGGAGTGCTGCACTGGATCAAAGATAGTAAAAACACTTTCAGGTGCTCATCCAACTCGTGGGTTTGAGAAAACTGTTGCAATGAAAGAAATGGAGGAGGCACTCTGAAAACTGTGTTCTTTATAATTTGAACTAATGCGTTTCGACAAAAGTCTTCAGTTAGACAGTATGAGCTCAGAGTACTTGGCACCTCTTTCTGTCCGTGTGGAGCGGATCCCTCTCTCAATGTGGATCTCCCGAGGTGTATCACTTTTCTCCCACTGGTTTTCCTTGCTGATGCTTGAGGGTCTGTTGGACAGTTATTGTCTAACAAGATGGACTGTGGTGATGATTCAGGACACTTTAACATTCTACAACATGTATGGACTTTTATCAACATGTGTTCTATATTCTTTTTTGTGTCTTAACTGTATATTCTCACTGTCCTGGTGCAGTGGTAACAACCTGGAGCTGAACGCCCAGAAGACAGTGGAGATGATTGTGGACTTCAGGAAGAGCACTGTCCCCCCGCCCCCACCCTCCGTGATGGACTCCCCCATCACCTCTGTGGAGTCCTTCCGTTTCCTGGGCACCACCATCACCCAGGACCTCAAGTGGGAGCCGACCATCAGCTCCCTCATCAAGAAGGCCCAGCAGAGGATGTACTTCCTGCGGCAGCTCAGGAAAGCCAAGCTGCCTGCACAGATGTTGGTGCAGTTCTACACGGCCATCATCGAGTCCATCCTCACCTCCTCCATCACCGTGTGGTTCGCTGGAGCCACAGTCAGGGACAAACAGAGACTACAGCGCATTGTGCGCTCTGCAGAGGAAGTGATCGGCCGCAGCCTTCCATCGCTGCAGGACCTGTACGTCGCCCAAGCTCGAGGCCGGGCTGGTCGCATCACAGCCGACCCCTCTCACCCTGCACATGGACTATTCCAACCACTCCCCTCAGGCAGGAGGCTGCGGTCCATCAGGACTAGAACCTCCCGCTACAAGAACAGTTTCTTCCCCTCTGCTGTTGGACTCTTGAACACTTCTTAACCTGTCCCCCCGCCCTTTATAAAGTCACTTTACTGCCCATCATACGTCACTTTACTTCACTGTACTGCTGTCACCTTACATTGTGTGCACCATGTGCACTTGTATATTGTAAATAGTAACTGTAACTCTATTTTAAATTTAAATGTATTCCTTAGAAGTGTTTTTAATTATTTTTATTTTTTTATTCTCTCTTTCTGACTGTTGCACTGAGCCAAAGCAATTTCCTAGTCTGTGACTTCCTGTTACTTACGTGGCAATAAAAATGATTCTGATTCTGATTATTCTCTGATCTGTGTTGGTGATTTCATTGGTTTTGTTAAGTCCTCTGAGATGACTTCTGTTGTGATTTAGGGCTAAACTAGAATACATTGTATTGTATTGTATGACATTTTGCATCAAGTGTGAAATATAACTACACATTTTCAATAAAAGAAAATTACAATTTCCACGTTGATAAGAGAATTTGAATGATAATCAAGGGACATAAAGAATAGATACAAGTTTGTGATTAATCACGAGATGCGATTAATTAAAAAAGAAATCGTTGGGCAGAACTAATGTAAATACATCTGTGACCCTCATCCAGCAGACGCCACAGTATATGTGTAATATATAATTATAATTATTGTAGCTCTGCCTTCGGACTCAAACTCTTGTCTTTAATCCAGACAAGAGGCAGTAGCTTAAACAAACTTTACATTTAAATGTTTAAACTAAATGATATGGTTGTAACACAAACCAGGGATGTCAAAATACAATCTTTCATAAACAGTATTTACAAAGTGCTTTATGAAGAATTATATACTCAGTCATAATGATACAAAGTCAAAGTATTTAAAAAGAGAAAAGGGAAAAGAAAGCAGACAGAGGGCACACAACAAGAAAGAACATGCGCAACTGTAAAAATTTAACATGTGAATAATTTTTTTTTATAGCACAGTTCATACACAATGCAACTCAAAGTTCTGAACAAAACAATCACCCAAGGCATTAAAATAAATAATCAAAGTATATTAAAAAGATCCAAGATAAAATCTTTCAGTTGTTCCAGAAACAGAACTGTTTTAACCTCATTCACATAAATTGATTTCTGAAAAAAAATAAAAACAGTTTACACTTTACTAACTTTATTTTTACTTAAAACATTTATGAAGAAAATTGTACACCGGGAAAATGTGGTAAATTTTTAAGTGAGTTTTTATGACTTATTGTGGAAATGTATTTAGAGAAGTCCCTATTGTATCTGTGATGAAGACTGTTGCAACATTTCTCATCGACAAGATTTAGATTGTTAATCAGCAAACTCACCTGATTAATAGTAACATTTTATGCGAACACTTTTCTGTATTTTCTCTGTGCGTGCAATTCCACCCCTGGCCACAGCGCGTCCATATCCCTCCGCAGTCACCGCTGCCCCGTCTCTTCCGCCGCGGGCCGAACTCAACATGGTGCGTATCCCCTACTGTAGCCCCGCTCTGCCCGGCCATCCGGCTCCATCCTCCTCCCTACAGCCCCGTGCACTCTGCCGGAGGCTCGGAACAGTGTTTAAGAACCGTGACCCGGCCTTCCAGAGTCCTATGAACGGTTGCAGTTTGTGATTAGAAGCGAGACACTGAGATGCTAACACATAATCTAGCCCGGATGCTAACACAGAGGCGAGCCCGGAGAGTTTGTTTACAACGTGATGTGTAATGGCAGCGTGCGGAAAACTGTTTCAAAGATTTTTTTCTTTTTGATTGATCGCTGTGCACACAATGTATTCACTGGCCAAATTCTTTCAATACTATCTATTTAATTAATGACTTAATTTATCAATTGGCTCACCGGATCCAGTCAATGCAAATGGTGGTATATTTTTACGTTGTCATTGCCTGTTAGGCAATGTTATACACGTGTAACAGCCTCTACAGTAGTTGTAGATTCCTATAATTCATTATCTAACACTAAAATATTGTGAATTATGTCACGTCTGAAGATTCAAAGTTTCTATTAACATTTATAGACATTGGTGATCTCTTTATGGACTAATATGATTATTGCATTTCCTGTGTTTTCTCTGATCTGTATTGGTGAATCAACAGTTTAGTTACGTGTTTCTGCTACCAGCACTGTTGTATTTTAAGGTGATACTAAAATATAAATTTAATTGAAAGGTATATGTGACACTTAACCTATGGGAACACCAGGTGCCTCAGTGGGGCGGCTGTAAAGTGCCAAACTGCTGTTGTGTTTTAGGCAAGACACTCCACCCACCTTTAGTCTGTTTGAATGATTGGTGGTGGTCGTCGGAGGGACCGATGGCACATACTGGTTGCCTGGCTTCACTCATCGTGCACCAGGGCAGCTGTGGCTACAGTAGTAGTTTATCACCACTGTGTATTTAGTGAAATTATGACATTTGAAGTGTCTTTAAGCGCCCAATAAAGCGCTGTATAAAAACAATGCATCATTTTTACATCTGTACAAATGCATTAGAGTTCCTACTGGCTTACGCAGGATATTTTTATATTTCTCAATTAACGGTAGCTAATGTCACTTCAGAAATGTCACACTTATTCATTCTTACTTCAAGACCTAATTCCAAAGTGTAATCGATGGAACAAACTGCTAATTGTCTCACCGATTACATATAATTGTAGCCTGGTCGTACCACACCATAGGACAAATGAGTGTACGGATGGCTAAGGCCAGGCAATATGAATGGTGTAAATTAGATAAACTCCCTGTTGAACGCTTCTCTGGTCTAAAATAGCTGCTTCCCTGCCATGAGCCAACCTCTCCCAGTTCTATCAGTTTCTCATGTTGCGTTAAGTTCCCGTTTGTATTTAATGAAGTGCTTTGGTGTCTCAGGGTCGTGTCAGGACTAAAACTATAAAGAAGGCCTCTCGGGTCATCATCGAGAAGTACTACATGCGCCTGGGCAGTGACTTTCACACCAACAAGAGGGTGTGCGAGGAGATCGCCATCATCCCCAGCAAACCACTGCGCAACAAGATTGCAGGGTGAGTCTATGGTTCACGTTTTTAAAGCTCCTGATTTTTATAAATGGTAGTGAACTAAAAATCTGTCAAGTTTCAGTCTATAGTTTACATCAAACTATCAATGAGTCTTTAGACACAGCATGTCCCCGTGCGGCTGGAAGCACCATTCCATTCCATTGTTGTGTGACCCATCTATTTCTCCGTAAATCTGTGACAGGCACTGCGCTGCGTAATTACGCACAACTATTTGTTTAGCCTCATTCACATCTGGCAAAGCAATACATTTTGTGAAAGCCTCACACCCCTCAAACGCACCAATGGAGTGTGGTATTGCTCACTCAAAATGCCTCACAGCCCTGTCCACGTGTAGCAGTTTATAGACAGGATGGCAATGCACTTATCTCTTTGGCAGTGCAGAGCAGGTGCTACGAGAGGTCCCACCTCTCATTCCACAAATGTGATGCTCGTCATTCAGATGTTTTGGATCCCGAGTTCCTCTGTGAAATCTCACACTTCCCAAAGGCTTCTTATACGCAACCTCTCTCTGGGATCGCTCCATTGCATTCACAGGAAGATGCTGCAGACGCTTCATTCAATTACTGACGAGAGCAACCGCTGAGGCCAAGATTTTAATGATAGTTTGTTTCTAAAGTTTCACAAGACATTTTTGCAATGTATCAAAGTTGTGCAAATTTACTCAATGGAAACGCAGCTGAATATAGCATATTTCCATTAAACAAACTTGACTTATCAGGATTGCTTGTCACAGGCCTTTGGAGGCTTCCAAACTAACTTCCACTCAGCCAACAGATGCTTACGCTCGGATCTGGGCGGATGTCACAAGTTCATAAATCTTGTGTATTTGGAATATACAACCAAAATGTAAACTTTCCAGTGTGTGGTGGTGGCACTGTGTGGTGTCTACACGTGACCAGCAGACGGTCCACATCTCCATCCCGGCTCCTCGAAGTTCATGTAGTTCACTTTGTTCCCATCTCTTCGCTGTCTCCTGGGGCCATGTTTGTTGTGAATAAGTTTCCCCTTGAGTTGAAGGCGTTCCCGATCATGATACGTTGACATTAAGCCTGTGTTAAACTCAAACGCTCAAAACAAGTGTGATTTATATTTCGTAAAAGTCATTTGAACAACTACTTATCTAAAGTAATGAGTAGTTGCTTTAGATGAGTCCAAAGGAAACGTTTCGACTCTAGCGCAGGGGTCTGACTGAGTGGGAGCAGATTCCACCCATTCCCTTGAGTGAGTTCAGGCTTGAAGATTTGAGGAAATAGGTGTTCACCTTCCAAAAAAATTGGAAGGTGAAATGGTCGCTCATTATAACTGGGTTTGCCTTTCACTTATCCCAGTTGGAACAGGGCCTTTCTGAGTGGAGTTTGCATGTTCTCCCTTTGTCTGCGTAGGTTTCCTCTGGGTACTCCAGTTTCCCCTACCACTAAACCATGTGCGATAGTTCAGGATGAGTGTGTGTTTGAGTGCGAAGGTGGGACAACGGAGGGAACAATAAAACAATAAATACATATTTATTTTGCTTATTTGGCGCGTCCAACATCATATTGCCAGTAATGAAACAGGACTGCCTCCCCCTCTGGCCTCTCCCCCTCTGGCCTCTCCCTGCAGTTTTTCAGTGGTTGTTGTTGACATGAGCCTCTCTGCTGCAGATATGTCACTCATCTGATGAAGAGGATCCAGCGCGGTCCAGTCAGAGGCATCTCCATCAAACTGCAGGAGGAGGAGCGCGAGAGGAGGGACAACTACGTCCCAGAGGTACACACACCCCATAACCATGCCGCAGACCCAAAACCAGCATTTACATAATTTTATGAATGATACTATATATAAGGACTGAAGAGGAAGCAACATTTGACTGTTGCTGCTGTATGTCAGTCTCTCCCCTGTTCTCTACACTTCTCTGTAGACTCCAGAGGCAGCAGCTGAGCCTCGAATGAAAAAAAATGACCACTCTAAACACTCATGAACTCTGCTTGTACATAAGAGACTGATGTGCTTGACAGATTACACCTCGCTGTGTGAAGGGAAGGTTCTGCTGGTCTTTCCTTCCTTCCTGGTCAGACTGCACCATCTATAGAACCACATGTGTCACTGTCCCAGAGCCTCATGCTGATAATGTACCAATGTAAACACAACTATGTGTTACTCGAGTATACAGTACTTTATACATGCTTCTTATTACACTGAAGTTGGAGATTATTTTGTGAATCTTGTGCTGTATGCTCCTCATTCCTACTGTACTGTAACTGATGATGCAACACTGACATTTCCTCATTGGGGGACCAAAAAAGGATCTATTATGGTGCTCCTCACACTATTGAGTTTTAGGATCTGCAAAAGCCAGATCCTCTCAGACCTCTGAATTGAAGCAGGGCTGGGCCTGGGCCTGGTTAGTACTGTGATGGGAGACCTCTGGTAACACCAGGTACCACAGTGGAGCTGCTGTAAAGTGCCACACTGTGGTTGTGTTCATAGCCAAGACACTTCACCCACATTAGAATGAGTCTGGTGTGTGTGAATGGTTAATTGTGGTGGGAGGGGCCGATGGCGCCGACTAGTTGCCTCGCTTCTCTCTGCGTGCCCCAGGGCAGCTGTGATTACAGTAGTAGTTTGACACCACTGACTCAGACACATGGCAGTGATATATTGAGCTGGTCCAGAGAACTCATGTTTGTTGTTGTGCAGATCTCAGCCCTGGACCAGGAGCTCATTGAGGTCGACCCTGACACCAAGGAGATGCTGAAGATGATGGTGAGTGACTCTTATTCAGACCTCTCTGTACTGGTCTCCTTCTGCTCACGGTCAGTTTGTGTTTCCCTCAGGATTTCGGCGGCCTGTCCAACCTCCAAGTCACGCAACCCACTGTTGGCATGAACTTCAAAACACCCAGAGGACTGTAAATGTGTCCGGTTTTCAAATAAAATTGTTGTATGAAATGGTAATGGGCTTCCATTATTTACTCTTCAGTGGTGGTCTCTTAACCAGTCTATGCTCTTAACATGCAGCCTGCTAAAAGGTGTTGTCCTCTAGTGGACATCAAAATGTTAAAATATTAGTTTTAAAGATTTATTTTATCAAAACCACAGCATTTATTTTGCCATACACTTAAAACCCTGGAGGCAAATTCAAAATGCTGCTCAATGTTAACAAAATCATTGCTTTTACTGAATAAGTTAAGTCCTTTAAAGTTTCAATTAAAAGTAAAACCTTTAATGTTCCTGGTGGTACCTTTACTGTTAATTTTAAAGAATCATGTTTTTGTATGTTGCTCACAGATTATTGCTCCCAACTTCACAACCTAATGTCATAAACAAGACTTGATTAGAACAAATGTCAATCACATTTTATAGAGCTCTAAGACTCTGCATGAATGTTTTAGATATTAAGTACTTCAATCAAAATGGTCAAAGTATTTACAAAAAGCGGCACCATGCTAATGTAGAAAGTGTTAAAAGCCAGTCTAAGTTTAGCCTCTTTAAACAGGCTTTAAAGACAGGGATGTCAGGGGGCAGCCTGTTTGAGTCTGAAGATGTGCCAAAAATACATTTATGGGAAAACTTGCATGGATTTTTACACTAATGGAACACTCACAGAACCAGATTTAATTGTGTTTTATAGAAAGTCTTGTCAATCTTCAGCTGTGGATGTGAGATTCAATAGAAAGGAGCTGCCTGCAGAATCAAACACCTGCCTTAAAGGTATATGGGAGGATTTTCCCAAACTCTGGTCTTATACGAGCACATACCAGAATGATTAACAATTGCGAGGGGCGATAGTCTTGATCCACTCACACCTTTAAGGCACTGGTGTCAAAGTCAAGGCCCGGGGGCCAGATCCGGCCCGCGAGATCATTTCCAGTGGCCCTTGAGAGGATCTTGATTTTAAATAAATAGCATAAATGGTAATAGGCGGCAATTGCATGTTCTCCATTACTGAGAAAACAATCATAACATTTAATACCATAAAGGATCTCCCAATTTTCTTAGGAAAGAACCACCCTCTCCACTTTTTGAACACTGGTCTTATTTGACGAGCACGAATCACCAGAATGATTGATAGTTGGGAGGAGCAATAATCTTGATCCACCCGGAAGTAAAACATCTTCCTCTATACCTTCAATATTTGGTCCAGTTTTGGTTCAGTCCACAGAAACTGAACTAATTCTAATCAGAAAAGAATTTCCAATCTAATGTGAAACCAGTCATTTATTCAGATACCTTCATATTCCAAAAAAATATATACATGAAACCCACTTATTTTTTCGGCCCCTGACCAGCTCTTTTTATTCGGCCCTTAACCAAAATAAGTTTGACACCCCTGCTTTAAGATGATCCTTTATTGGTCCCACAGTGGGGAAATGTCAGTGTTGCATCATCACAACAGTAGGAATGAGGAGCGCACAGCCCAAGATAAATGAACATACTAAATGAAATCTAACGTTAGTATCAAAAAGTATGAAATCTAGCATAACAAGCGATCAAAAAATCTTGACTTAATTATACAAACCTTCGGATCAGCTTCATTACTCATGTCAATGGTTGAAGCACTTCCCATTTTCACCCTTAGAACAATCCTGTACAGCTTCATTGGACACGTCTTTCAAATGAATGTCACATCCACTGTAGCGCAGCTGTTGTGAAAGTCCACATCCTTGACGTGCACTGGTATAGCCGTCTCGTTTTTTTAACCTGTATGTTTTTACTTATGTTGGACCCATCCGTAAGGCTTCATTCAATACACATACAATTATCCTTGTGCAGTAAACAGTAATACCCTGTGAGACTTAAGACACTACCTGTTCTGTTCAGAAACCACACACCCCTCCAGGTATCTCATTTTAAAGAGTTGTAACAGGCTTTTAATGTAATTTATAGAATCTGCAAAAGTGTGCATCAGACATTTGGTTTTACTGCAATGAAACCAGTCAGAATCTAAAGCCCCAGATAACTTTAAATTAGAAAACAAGTCCCAGCTACGTTTGTCACAATTCAATATCTTTGGTATTTCAAATATACTGAAATCCTCCTCCCTCCTGAAGCATCCTAGTCATATAGTTTAGTTACCAGTGCATGAGACAAGAGGCAGAGGCAGGGTAATGCTTAAACACCTTTATTGTGCCCAATCTGAACATACTCCACAACTGTAAGTAGCAGCAAACTTGGCAGACCACAATGAGGTAGACTTTCAAAACTCTAAAAGCAGCTGGGCTCAACTGGCTCAGCGTGAAAACCGAATGGAGGAAAGACAATTGTGTCTTTGGCACACAGCTTCATACCAGAACAAGGCAATGTGGGTTTGTGAGAGGAGCGTTTGGTGAAGTCTACACAAGCTTGGAATAGAGATAGTCATTCATCAGTGAAGTGGAAGTTCTTACACTCAGCAGGAAACCGGCTGTCGTCCGAATAGTTCCTCTAACTGATGTACAAAAGTGATTAAAAACACAGCCACCTCCAAGTGCAAATTAAAAAGTGCAATAAACTATGTACGATCAAAACATGGATTCACTAGTCTCAACAAGATCCAGCAGTTGATTTAAAATTATGTTAAAGAGTATTTAGTACGATTACATTTAATATAACTGGACCAACAAAGTAGTAATATTAATACTTTGTGCCCATTCTGAGGGAAATAAGAGGGCAAATTAAAAAAAGGTAAATCTTTAAAGAAAAAAGTAATCAAAATGAAAAATAAGAGGGGTCCCATCAACAGCCGCCTGGTAGAATCATGTTCAACATTTCTGTCGACTTAAAACCGTGTACCGTACAAATGAGTAAAAATGTAAAAATGTCTGAAATGCGACTGGTTAAATGGAGGCCAACGTTCAACTCCAGAAACACCAGTTGGCTTGCAGGGAAAAAACTATACCAACTGGGGAGGGAGAAACTAAAAGGTTAAAGGCACTGTATGGCATTTGCCACTGAAAGGCAATGAGACTGACGTGATTGCTCTTCACTATGCAACATAAAAAGAAAAAGGGCATTTTCATGAACGCTTTAGGCCGACGCCCACGTCCCTTTCGGCCACAAGTGAAGAAAACGCAGTAAGTGAAGGTCCTTGTCTCCAAGGTCACTGTGCATAGTGCCACTGAACAGCAAAACGAGCGAGTGCAAAAGTGAACGTTTCTACAGTGAATCCCCAGTGCCTGGTGCAGGGCCAGCCTCGACCGGAGGCCTGGCCTGGTGCCCGCGGATCTTCACTCCAACAGGAGTCATCTTCAGCCCGAGTCTTTGCTGAAGGCTTTAGCTCAGGTCGCGGTTCTTCTGGTTCCGCATCAGGGGCCGGTGGTTGCTCAGGATGTCCATGGAGTGCTGCCAGTGCCAGCAGGAGCGGCAGTAGTACTTGAAACACGCCTAAGACACACAACAGTTATACTTCTGCTTTAACCTGTGTACAACACTACGGACGACTCACCTGGTCCCTGCAGAAGAACGGCCCCGGCTGACGAAGACACACTTGACACATTGAGTCTTCCAGGTATGGGTCAATCTGGACCTGAAGTTAAATATAAGTTATCAATCCCTGCCAGGGTCTTTACTATTATGATGCGACAGTGTATGAAAAAAAATATTTTAAACCTTATTAACTGAGAGTTCCCCTTCTACCTTCACATCCCAGTACCTGTGCTCTGGGATCAAACCCTCACAATAAAAGCCCACCACAGCACTCTGCTCAAATATGAACCATTCTTCTGGTCCTTGTGTCTGAGTCCAACAGTCCCCTCACATCTGTCCCAACAGGACAGACATTTACTACGTTCACTCAGTCCGTAGGCACTAAAGAGCAGACTTCTGTCGCCCCCTGCAGGACTGACTTTCACTCTCTCAATGTGAAGGAGGTTCCACAGGACTTCCTTCCTGCTGTGATCAGACTTTACAATGAAAAATTACTTCACTCTGCCAATCTACTTAACACTTTATGCATCTGGACTCTGGAGGTGAGGCCCAGGAGGGTGCTAGCCAAAGTCACCACCATCAAGGACAACACCTCCCACTGCACAGGACTGGAGGAGCGTTACCGCAGGGCCTTTGTCCCCACTGCTGTCAGACTGGGAATAGTATTGCAGGTTTCAGTCCTAGTGGAAGTGACTTAACGTGACTTATTGTACACTTTCTATTGTACATAACAGATCCTGAAAAGACCATTTTATACCTTTAGCATCTTTGCACAAATCTTTAGTGATTCTATCCATGCCAGAGGTGACATGTATCACCTCTTTATTGATCTCTTGTGTGAGATCAATAAAGTCAAACTTGAAATATTGTCAAAATGTGCAATATAGAACCACATGTGTCACTATAAATGTTAGCATGAGGTGCTGGGACATTTTGTTTTAATGTACATATTTGACTGGGACAGTACAAGTAAACTGTAAACATGGAACATGTCAAATTGTAGCAAAAGGCAAATATTTATCACTCGACAACTACACTTTCCTTGCACTCTAGTACAGCATTTTAGGGCTGGGCGATATGGCTAAAAAATATATCACAATATAAGTAATTCATATCGGTCGATAACTATATATAGTGATTGTTTATTTTTTTAAACGTAAATAAATACATTTGTTGTGTCGGCTAACACATGTTAGCAGCTTTGTTTACAGTCACGGGGAATGAGGTTGGAGCCAAATGTTCACAAGCAGTCTCCCCCACTTTAGTCCTGGTTTAATCCTCGTATAGTCCTGGTTTAGCACCCGTTTGAGTGTCCTGTGTCCCCGTGGCGGCTCCGGAAAGTTAATCTCTTGTTTTTGCAGAATGCATCGAGTCTCTGCCTCTCCCGCGCCGCACATGCTGTTCCTCGCATGGACGTGTTTAACCATTGACACGGCACTGAGACACAATCTTTAGATCCAGGGCTATTATAATAATAGATCCATGGACGCTACGCATGGTGCGGTTGTTTTTTTCATTCCCAGAAAGTTTTGCGGTTTGTAGTCGGCTGTGATAGGTCGAGAAGTCTCTGCCTACATCCTCCAGAATGCCGCGCGCTTCTGACTCTGCTTTACTTCCTGTGTTTCGTTCCTTTTTTTCGAACGGAGTGAAGTTAAACTATCGAAAGTTCTATCGACCCCGTTCTCTTGATATCGAACATGTGTCTATCGCGATATATATCGTTATATCGCCCAGCCCTACAGCATTTTATACTTGCTTCAGCATAAAGTTAGGGATTTTATACAGTTCTTTATGCTAAAGTTAAATCATTTTAGTAAATATTCATCTTTCTTGTGCAGTATGCTCTTCAAACCTACAGTCCATCTTGTGATGCAACACTAACATTTTCCCACTGTGGGACAAAAAGGATCCCTTATGGTGCACCGCACACTAGTGGATTTTGGCCTTAAATGAAGACTGGCTTTACAAACTTCTGCTCCCCTCTCCTCCTGGAGGCTCACTTCTGACCTTGTGTCTGCTTAGTGTCAAGACCTTTAAATCCTCACCTTCTTGGTAAACTTTGGCGTCTTGATCTCCACGAAGGCGGCGCACACAGCCTTCAGGTAACTCTGCTGGTTGTTAAAAGTGACGCGTCCGGAGCCTGAGGAGAAATGGCAGTCTGTTGAGGCTTTAAAGGTCCCACATTACGCTTTTTGACTTCTCTGCTTTAAACATTACAGCCATTTGCCCAGAGTCGTTTTCATTGAACACCCACCACTGAATTCTTTAGTTAGAAGGCAATCTTTTTCAATCTCCAGAAGAAGCAAAACGATCCGATTCACTTTGGAGCTCGAGCTATGCATGACAGTGACCCGCCTCCAGGAGGTGATTGACAGGACACCAAAAATGAATCAGCGCACAACCTTTCCCAGTGTATGGACCAGTGTTCGCTTCTATGCAGTTTTTCTACTTCTGACAGCGACTTTGAGAAATGGGTTTTTGGTGTAAATATGTAAATTTGACCTGAAGACTGCACAAGTGTAGCTGGACTTTCAAATCACGGGATCTGCCTTTGTCACTTTCAGAAACTCAGATTTGTCGCAGAATTCAAAGAGTTTACCATGAAACATCACTTTCCTGGTAAAGGCTACGTCACCGTGCAGGTGAAGGGAGGCGGGTTCACAGGAAAAGGGAAGGCCTACAAGTGACATCAGCTTTCATGTAAGAAATTGCTATAATTTTTGAGTTTTGTATTGTGTATCACCCCAATTATCACATGTGCATAGGATTGACTTAAAAAAAATGTATAGAACCTTTAAATGTGAACAGACCTATAGGATACTTGTGCTTGTCCGTGTCAATGCCAGAGTACATGACTCCTCCAAACAGATCGTTCATGATGCTGGCCAGAGCCTCGGCGTTCAGCATCCCGTGGAGCGCACCCACAAACACAGTCTTACTGGGATCCAGGCGCTGAGCTGGGCACCGCACATAGTTACTGTCAGAGATCACCCAGGGGATCACCTGCACCTGCAGTGCAAAAGACAAGCACTTTAGACACAAAGGGCAGTGTTGGGCACGTTAATACTAGTTACTGGTAACTACTTTTTATAGTGAAGTAACTATTTGTACTCTTACCAATAGTTTACAGTAACAAGAAACTTGTTGCTTGCTCCTGTAACCCCCCCTTCTCAGAACGCGTTTCATAAGCTACCAAATATGCATATGCAAACATAAGACGTGGACAAATGTTTTGGAACATTAATGTGCACTCTACGTGCACCTTTTAACCTCTTGAGTTTGAAATAGTGCCATATTCCCATCTTGAAAAGGCTGTTTTGCTGCAGGAGTCCTCACTCCATCTCTCCCTGTGTGCTGTAACTTGTAAGCACTAAACACCCACCTAACTAATCTTAATAGATTGGGTAGGTGGGTAATCTTACTATACATCAGCCAATTGCTGAGGTTCTCATCCTCCCTTCTCATGAAAACACGCACACAAGTCCTTTAATTAAGTTTAACAAAAGTTCATTGTTTGGCAATGATAACGGCGTTTAGTTACAAAGTCATAAAATTACTCGTTACTGAAAAGTAATAGCGTTATTCCCATCACTGACAAAGGGACACCAACTTTAGACACAGGAACATTAAGTGTAGTCCAGGGCTTTCATACCGGTTCCAGAAGGGGCCAGAGTATGTGTATACGCAGTTCAAAGAATAGGGAAAAGTAAACCTCATGTCAGAATATGAGTCATTTCTTTTTATGGGAACAACGGTAAAGGTAAATAAAACTATGTTCTGGCACCTCGTTTTAATTACCTGTAGTTCAATGTTATTGTTATGCATGCAACTCCTACACAGTGCAGTGCATCAACAGTGGGTAGAGTCCAGTATTCTCCACTTAACAGGCCCGACCCCTAACTTCCCAAACCAATTTAAAAGGAGGGTAATAAGACTCCTACACTGATTCATTAAAAGAAGCCTCCCTGCCCTGATTTCCTTCTGTCGAGCAATGTCATTCACATCATATTGCGGTTATGCACCATCTATTGAATCGAAGAGAACATTTGTTCTGTCGAGTTGTGCCGCTCAGCTGTTAATGATGTAATGAACGATGTAATGCAAACATGCCGTCTCACCGCAGCAAACCAAGATCCGTGAATAGCTTTAAAAGTTATAATACGAACAAATGAAGACACGAATGTCACTTAATGCAATTTGAGGCGAGATGTTGATGGTTGTCACATGTGGGATTTAAGAGTCAAAGTTTTGTGTAAAGTGTAGTTTAAGCAGTCCACTGCGCCTGTGAAACCACACTGCTGGTGTGTGATAGCAGTCCGCGGCTGCTGACGTAGGGTAATTACACGTCCTGTGGCAACTACAGCTAACAACTGGTCTGTCGGGTTGATATGGAAAATGGGGAAAAACGCGAATATTTTGTTTGAACACACTTATTCATCCATCCATCCACTTTCTTCCGCTTTATCCGTTGCCGGGTCGCGGGGGCAGCAGTCTAAGCAGAGACGCCCAGACTTCCCTATCCAGGCACACCTCCAGCTCGTCCGGGGGGACCCCAAGGCGTTCCCAGGCCAGCTGAGAGACATAGTCCCTCCAGCGTGTCCTGGGTCTTCCCCGGGGCCTCCTCCCGGTGGGACGTGCCCGGAACACCTCCCCAGGAAGGCGTCCAGAAGGCATCCTGAACAGATGCCCGAGCCACCTCAACTGGTTCCTCTTGATGTGGAGAAGCAGCGGCTCTACTCAGAGCTCCTCCCGTGTGACCGAGCTCCTCACCCTATCTCTAAGGGAGCGCCCAGCCACTCTGCGGAGGAAGCTCATTTTGACCGCTTGTATCCGCGACCTCGTTCTTTCGGTCATTACCCAAAGCTCATGACCATAGGTGAGGGAGGGGACGAAGATTGACCGGTAAATCGAGAGCTTTGCCTTTCGGCTCAGCTCCCTCTTCACCACAACGGTCCGATACAGCGACCGCATCACTGCGCACGCTCCACCGATCCGCCTGTCAATCTCACGCGCCATCCTTCCCTCACTCGTGAACAAGACCGAGATACTTGAACTCCTCCACTTGAGGAAGGACCTCTCCACCCACCTGCAGAGGGCAAGGCACCTTTTTCTGGTCGAGCACCATGGCCTCGGATTTGGAGGTGCTGATTCTCATCCCAGCCGCTTCACACTCTGCTGCAAACCGTCCCAGTGCATGTTGCAGGTCCTGGTTCGTTGGAGCCAGCAGGACGACATCATCCGCAAAAAGTAGAGATTAAATCTTGTGGCTCCCGAACCGGACCCCCTCCGGCCCCTGGCTGCGCCTAGAAATTCTGTCCATGAATACAGTGAACAGAACCGGTGACAAAGGGCAGCCCTGTCGGAGGCCAACATTCACCGGGGACAGGTCTGACTTACTGCCGGCAATGCGAACACAGCTCTGACTCCGGTCATACGGGACCGGACGGCCCTCAGCAGAGGACCCCGGACCCCGTACTCCCGGAGGACCCCCCAAAGGACACCCCGGGGAACACTGTCGAACGCCTTCTCCAAATCCACAAAGCACATGTGGACAGGTTGGGCGAACTCCCATGAACCCTCGAGTATCCGATGGAGAGTATAGAGCTGGTCCAGTGTTCCGCGACCGGGACACTATTATTCATCATATTAAATACAGTACGATACATGCATTAAATTAAATTAATTATTTCCATTATCAACCCGACAGACTAGTTGTAAGCTGTGGAGTCAGCCTACGTCAGCAGCCGCGGACTGCTATCACACAGCAGTGTGGTTTCACAGGTGCAGTTGACTGCTTAAACTAAACTTTACACAAAACTCTGACTCTTAAAACCCACATGTGACAACACAGAACCATCAATATCTTGCCTCAAATTGCATTAAAAGTGACATGTCTTAATTCGTTCGTATTTTAACTTTTAAAGCTATTCACGGACCGCCATCTTTGTTTACTTCGGCTGCCGTGAGACGCGCAGGTTTGCATTACATCATTAACAGCTGAGCGGCACAACTCGACAGAACACCGGCTTGACCTCCGGTGACCACCGCTTTAGCCACAAACACGTCACACTTACGTCTTTACATCTCATTCTGCGGCTCGACATCTTGAAATAATATTCTCGATTATCCTCCGGGTGGAAGGGGTCCTGAGAGCAAGCACGCAGCAGTCCTCTCACAGACTTCTCATTCTCAAAAATCAGGTAGACGTAACCTTCAAATAAAAAACAAATTAGGCAAGGCAAGTTTTATTGAGTTTCCTTGTGTGCTATACAAAGTGCTGACTAAAAAACAGGCATTAGAATCAAACTATCACAGTAAATAAAAAGCAAAGTTAAAATCCTTCAATTGTTGCAGCAAAACTACCATTTAACCTGGATTTGAACATAGTCAGAAGAAGCCAGTCTCACATTTTCAGGAAGTTTGTTCCAGATTTTAGCTGCATGACTTTGAAAAGCTTCCTCCTTATTTTTAGTCCTTACTCTGGGACCAACAAGAGGCCAGTCCCTGTGCTAAAACAAGGGTTCCCAAAGTTTAGCCCGTGACCCCCATCATAAATGCGCTGCTCCCCCGCGACCCCCCACAACAGTCCTTCCCGTCAATGAGCATGTATTTCCTTGATACGGAGTAACGCAGAGACTCGCGCCACTACTGAGGTGCACTGCCCAGAGCCCAAAAAAGGAGGCTTGCGTATTTTTACTCACGTAGTGACAGTGATGGGCTTGGTGGGCTCCCTTCTTAGCAAAAGTGGAGCGCATTTCTTGCGGCTCGCACTCACTGTTCTCGTACCGTGGTAAAGGGGCCCGGCTTTTTGGAGTCAGCGGTAAAGAGGTCCGCACATTAAAAGCGGGCGGCCGCTTTATGCTGTTACTTCATGCGGTTCCTCCCCCCGCGGCTTCTTTTTCCAAAGTTACTGTAAGTAACAGCATAAAGCGGCCACCCGCTTTTAATGTGCGGACCCCTTTACCACTGACTCCGAAAAGCTGGGCCTCTTTACCGCAGTGTTCTACCGCTGCCCTCTCTTCGCACCATCAGCCTGACCCTTGACTGTTCTCCCCCGCCGGGTTTTCTGTTGTGGATATTAACCATGTTTCATTTTAAAGCAGGTATTTGTAGCCTCCAAACACCTTTAGTTTTAGCAAACAGCAGCAGGACACGCTTTGTTGCTGCATGATGTGAGCTGCGTAACTTAATTTTGATTGACGCTGTCAATGACTGGGACAACGTAATTAAAATATATTATATTCTCCTAACACAATTCAAGTAATCCTTTTGAATCAAATGCAAAATATTTAAGGGCTATTTGCTCAATTTTTTTTTGGAAATCATCTTGCGACGACCCCCCCCCCCCCCACAGGAGGCCAGTGCAGAGATTAGAGTAGAATAAAATGAATGACGACATTTTAAAGTGATCCTAGATAAAAATCCTTGTGTTGTGCACCCGGTCCTGTGGAAACATCCCAACACCAGAGAGACTCACCAGTGCTCCCCGGACACCAATAATAAAATTAAAAAAATCCTACCAGCTCGCGGTTACCTTTGGCCACATTACCTTTGGGCGGACAGCGTGGGTGTTTCCCATCCTTACCCGGCCACTCCACACTCAGAGGGCCATAACTGCTGAAGGTGGCAATCAGTCCAGCTAAAACAAAAATATTAAGAGATTCTCTATTCATCCCACAGCGGGGAAATGTCAGTGTTGCATCACCAGTTACAGAACAGTAGGAATGAGGAGCACACAGCACAAGATAAATGAACAATAACTTATGCTAAACACAAATCTCTAACTAGCATAATAAAGTGATCGGTTCTTATCCTCAAGTTGGATGTTGCATGCTTTTATATGCTAAAGCAAAGACACTAAGCAAGAAATGTATAGTTTTATGTATACATCATGTACCCTCATGCTACATACATGCTAGCCTGAGGGTATGGGCTTAAGCTAAGTGACATTACAATTCAAAACAACCTTCCATTGAAACATTCGCATCAACTATCTCATAATATGGTGATAAAGGTTTTATACTTTCTTTGGCTGAAAAACAAAGAAACCAGTATAATAAAGTATGTATTACTTTAGCATATTAAATAAGTTTAAGTGTGTGTTTTATTTGGACCCTTTGTATCCCTGAATTAGAGTTCAGTTTTCAGACAGCTCTGACATGCAACATACAATACTGTACATTTCTTGCACTGGAATGTAGTTGTACGAATACATCTGTACATGTTAGCATGAGGGTATGGGCTAAAGAAGCTAAAGTGACACAGCCGTGCACCGATAGGATCAAAGATGAGCGGAGAATTTTAGCAGAAACTTTCCATTTAAACATTACACCATGCTAAAGACAAAACGCTGGTGCAGATGTATGCTAGCACAGCACATTCACACAGATCTTACACTCAGTGATGTCCCAGGGCACCCCACCCAGAAACACTTTGCAGGAGAACAGTGGGTCCTTGTTGTTCCTCGGCGGCAGCTGTCCACTCCAGGTGAAGGTGGCCTCGTTCACAGCTGAGGAGACAGAACCACTCAAAGGATTAGGTTTTAGTAATATCTGATACCCCACTATTTATATTTATTATCCCTTCAATTACTACATTTATATTGTGTGTATAACATTGGTTTTCTGAGGACTTTACAAAACTTGAACCAATTCTCTGATCTGTGGCAAATTCAACTAAAAAATTCAACATTAGTCTCTGCCCCTTATGGATCAATGGCTGTGTGTTTACATTTCTTGAATTTGCTAACAGAAGCTTAGTTCAAACACAACAATTTGTCAAGTTACAATTCTGTTGTATTTCCCTTAATCACTTTAACAGTCTGCGTGGTCCTGGATGATGGATTGATGAAGTTACCTGCTGCCTGTCGATGCAGACGCGCCTCTCGCTCAATGCTGAAAGAGTCTGACTGATCCAGGACGTCTGCACCAGGCCATGGGGAGCCTGAACGCCAGCGCCGGGACAGCACCGAGGAGCCAGGGCTGGTACCAGGAGGAGGAGTCAGAGGGGAGCTGGTGTCCTGGGGGTCCAGACGAGAGCCCAGTCTCAGCAGGTCCTTCTGCATGTTGGAGGTGAGGTACGGCAGCGGAGGAGAGATGCGCAGAGTGGACTGTGGCAGAGGAACCAGGTTTGAAACAGAAATCTGACTTATAAATTAATATTGATAACATTTCACTTGAACTTTTCTTAAAAAGTCAACATTGTGGGGTGCCAGACTGGACATAAAAACAAGCCAATTTTCATCCGTCAATAGGCAGAGGCAAAGTGACAGCAGATTAAATAGAATTACGGAGATCACAATAAAATACAACACCTCTAACCAGAAAGACACTATACACAACTGCATGGGTTAAAGTTGAAAAAAATCCTGAGCCTGAACCATCTATATGAATCATAGAATGATCACTAATAAGCGTTTTTTATAAGCGGCCAGGGGTTAAAGCAAAAAAAATTTGACTGAAAATTCTCTCATGGAAATATAATGAATTACAGATCAAACGAATTCTTCAAAGATATACATTTAAACTGGTGTATTTTGATGTGAAATTACAACCAGTGGATCAAGCAACTTGTCAACTCTTTGACAGAATATTAGTGAGAGTAGTTCATCTGCATCATTGGCTTTACTTGAGGCGAGATGAGGCGTTGTCCTTTGGCTCTGTCCTCGTCAAAATATCGCAAAAGGACATTCAAAATTCTGTCCACATTTGTTTGTGGACACTCAATGTTTAAGAAAAAGGTTTCCCTATCAACTTGGTGCTAGTGCACAGCGCAGTTTTATCAACTGCAAATGATTAATGATAATTAAATCTACCAGCGGTAGTGATGGTTCTGAACGACAGGTTATTTTCTGCCATAAAGCCACAGATAGTTTTAGGTCACAGACACAGTCCACCAGAGCAAGCCTAGTCTCAGTTGTCGCTGAATCTGATGCACCAGGTAAAGAAGTGTGGGAAAGTGCACGGACAGCTGCCAAGTGCGCAGTTTTGAGCTGGTGGTGAATCCAAAGCTGTTTTCTCATTACTCCCATATAAAAAAATAATAATAGCGAAGTACGAACAAGCACCGGACACCTTCATCTTTTTGCACCAGGAAGCAACAGAATCCCATCGTCTCCACCTCATCCAGCCATGCCCACCTCCATTTATTTTTCACTGTTATCAACAGCAACTTATACTGCTCCTTCCATAAACAACGATCCATGATTGTGATTGTGCGTGCATGCTAGGCTAGCTTTGATGAATGAATATAAGACCTGCTAACACACACCTTTCTTCAGCGAGTTTCTTCCGTTCGCTCTCGTTGATTGGCTCTTTTTATCACGCAGTTTTGCATGGGGATCGCCACCAAGATATTATCAAAAGCTCACCAAGACATGCTTGTCCCCATTCCCAGTCACAGCAAAGTACATATTGTACATTTCGTTAAAAAAGCATTGCGTTTGGTAAACGTTAATTATGTCCTACCTTTCCTCTGATAACGCGCCCAGTTTACCGGGTTTACCCAGTTTACCGGGCTGCTGGCTGTTATTGCTCCGTTCGGGATTACATTTTCCTTGTCCTCTTCTCCTTTTCAAAAGCTCCGTGCACTTTTCAGAAACTTTCACCTCCGTGTTACCATCGCTAACTTGGCTACGTCCCATTGCCTTGAATCATTTACGGAGCGCTCATGTAGCTAGCCACGGCACGTTCAAGGCCCACTCGTGATTATATTACTTTTTATTTCTATATACATATAAATACAATTATATTCAAATTATTAATATATATCTAGATATATACAACAGATTCACACGTATTACTATATATTTTGTTATAATTAACCATTTCATTGTGTGTATTATATTATTATTATATATATATATATATTTTTTTTTCAGACCAATTTCATTTGACGGAAATCCGTCACTTAGACGGAACTCTTTAATCCCTGCGCTATACACATGCAATCCTTTCATACAATTGGTAGAACACACTTGAACCTTTTTCAAATGACAGCAATCATTATTTATATATATATTAAAAAAAAAAAAAAAAAAAAAAAAGTGGTTTTTTTTTTTTTTTCCTCACGCCGGATTTCCGGCACGGTGCCGGAAAACTTTAAGCCCTGCAACTGTCCAGTTAATATTTTTTTTTCTCTGGTGGGACTGTCCGAGGTCTGATGCTTCGTCTTGTACTGGTTCTAGAGGTCTGACTGTGCCCTTACCTTTGTCCATTTAATATTTACTGTAGTATATGTTGTAAACTTAATTCCTAACCCAAGACTAATTTATCTTATCCCTCATCCTAATACATCAAAACTGGATCATACAGTTTGACCCAAAGGCAGAACTACAGATCTGTTCTGTACACAGTGAGGCAAAGGGATGGAAGAGCAACGTAATTGTTCTTTATGTCAAAGAACTGTATTCCAAAATAATATATAAATTGTGACCTGCACAGAGTTATATCAGTAAAAAGGCAAGAAAAAAGCTGGAGAACGTAGCAATTCTGGGCAGATCATTCTGAGGGAGGACCGGGCACAAGTAAAATTTTCTGAAATGAAGGAGCTGGAGCTTGAAGTAGGCCTTGCATTTTTAACAAACAACAAAAAAGGGGAAACGATGGGCTACAAACAACAAGTAATATAGTTTATGATTCTTGTTTACCATTCTAATTTGATATTGTATTGACTACACTTTGTACGACAGCTCTTTGTCGTTTACCTCATTTATGCCCTCGCCTTGTACAGAAATTCCACAACCACATATTTGAGCTTTACATTCTGGATCATGAGGCCATACCAGCATGTCGCAGAGGTGATCCGAGCCAGAGCTGAAGCCACTGGTCTCAGAGTCCTCCGGGCTGCTGGAGCGAGAGTCCAGGAAGCATCCGGAGTCCAGTCGGTGTGAAGCCATGCGGGCCATGCAGGGAAACTTCTCCAGGAAGTCTGCAGCCATTCCCATGGACTCAGGGCACATGTATCCAGGCGGCTTTCCAAGGAGCCCACTGAAGGGGCTGTTCAGCATACCTAGCACTCACACAGACACGAACAAACTAAGACTACATGGAACACTTGTCACAATATAATGTGTTGCAGCCCCATCAACCCAGGCCAGCAGGCGTCGCTACACTTTTGACATTAATGAATCACCCATATACTGCATTTACGACTTTCAATGTAAGCTAAGTACTGCATTAGTGGGAGGGAAAAAGGAAAGTATTCTTTTCAGTAACGCGATATTTTGCACACAATGAAATTGAGTAAAGCAAATATTTAATTAAATCATTACGTTTCCCTGAGATTCTTCTGATCATTTCCATCTGAGGTTCATGTAACTGATTTATTTGAATAATGTAATACATTTGACTGATATTTCAATACAAATCACATCTTTGGTTTACAGTTACAACCCTAAAGGATATCTATGCCTTCATCAGGTCACCACCATTCTAGCTAAAGAGTCCAAAGAGCCTGGAGACAAGAGAGCCCAGAGACAAGAGAAACAAGCCCATAGACCAGTCATTTTGAAAGTCAGGGACAAGCAGCCAGTGTCTGAAGACAGGATATAGTTAAACCACTTGTAGTTTATAGAATTACACAATTCCAAAGTAAATGCCACAGAATCTGTGCTACACAATTTTAAATGTCTGGCCCACTTACTAGACCCACTTTGTCCTATTATTGGACATTTATTAAAGGGATAAGACTTCTTCAAAAGGCAACAAAGAAACTAACAGTTCAGAAAAATCTGTTTCAACTATATTCGACTCAGCTTTATGTGAAAGACCGACAAAGCAGTGCAATGATGTGGCATTTTTGGCCTATGCTTCTTTGTGCAGGAGCAGAATGCAGCCAGTCACTCCCCACAGTCCTCCCCTTGTGTCCAGCTCCTACGTGTGAAGTTGAAAGCAGGGCAGGTCTTGCTGGTACTTACTGGAGGGAGAGCTGGTCTGGACCTGAGTGGGCGAGGGATGAGAGTCAGTGTCCTGGCTGCTCCATGTCCTGTCCCAGCCAGACAGACGCAGAGACTGAAGGCCCAGGCCCAGGTCTGAGACTCCGAGCTGGCTTCTGGGCGATGCCATGTCCTGGGAGACTCCACAGTTTGGGAAAAGCATCCTCCTGCTGCCCACCGCTGCCAGCTCCGACTCTGTGGTACAAGACATTCACATCAGCTTTTACTCACAACCACACAACTCACTAGAATCACCCGAAAATTGTAAGCTCCCACAGCACACTCCCTGCTCATTTCAAAGTTGCTAACCTGCTGCCTCTGTGCCCGGTGCGCCTGCCATGCATTTCTGTGCGCATCACTGAGCCACCTAGCAGCATGTGACATGGCTGCCGATGCACTTGCACACCCCTGCTAATGACATCAGCTCTCCCACCTCCCCGCTTCCAGCCCAAGCTACTGTAATGAGAAATTCCAGTCAGAGCGCGCTGTGCTTGTTGGTAGAAGCGTCTCCTGTCTGAGGCAGATGTGTTGCATACACGCAGTCTGCTTCTGAGGCGAGGGGCGAGGGGAGAGAGAGAGGGGGCTAAAGAAGCATGGGAACAAGCAGCATGACTCAGCACACAAACACAAACCTTCAAGAGCTCTGGACAAATGGCGCATGCCTCGTTTAGGGCATGAATAGACAAGCGCAGAAGCAGCTGACTGATCAGATGAGAGGGTTCATCCTGGCACCCAGTCCAGGCCTGGTGATTCAGCAGCAGCAGAGAACAGGCCACTTTACACCAGCACCACTCAAACCTACACGTGGCACTAAGGACATATCACACCACCATCTACACCAGTTGGTTCTGCGACTAGGTTCTATCAGCTGTAATCAGTCGGCAAAAAGCACTTAATCTCTACTTGTTTTGAAATAGTTTGTTGATTAGTTTCATGTGATTACAAACTGTTCCCTTTGCACATGTATTACAATGCAGTTTTACTGCAAACAGCCAATACAACGAATCTTTTCTGACCTGTGCAGTCAGCACATTTAGTTTGAGTCAAAGTCCATAAAAAGAAAAAACATTGGTTTCAATAATCCATGAGCACTTAAGTCTAAAACAATAAAATTAATGTTGACTCTCAGAACTATGAAAACTGATTAAGGAAGCAGCTGTCTGAAACAAGTGCCAAAATTAGTTTTGTGAGCTTGATTTACAAAAGTAAAGCCTTTTGAGGGGGAAGTAGGGGGCATACAAAATCATTGTGTTATTCTCTTTCCAGCTACAGCCCCACAGGCTAGGAGTGGGATTGCACCAATAAAGCGCACGTGCTCATGGACCTTTTTGAACCGGGACCCACCCCCACTGTTCAACACAAACCAGAGTAGGTCCTTCCCCTTGCAGGACACACACACACGCCACAGAGTAGGTCCTTCCCCTTGCAGGACACACACACGCCACAGAGTAGGTCCTTCCCCTTGCAGGACACACACACACGCCACAGAGTAGGTCCTTCCCCTTGCAGGACACACACACACGCCACAGAGTAGGTCCTTCCCCTTGCAGGACACACACACGCCACAGAGTAGGTCCTTCCCCTTGCAGGACACATACCACAGAGTAGGTCCTTCCCCTTGGTGGTGTTGGGGGTAGTGCAGACGCCGGTGAGGTCCAGAGCGTTGCCCAGCATGGTATTCATCCTACGGAACACGTCTGCGTTGCTGCAGGTGGAGAGCGCTGCAGACTCTGGGTCAGAGCACTCAGGCCTGTGGGACTCGCTTCTCTACAAAACACAAAAACAAAATTCTGCTTTTCTAAATGTGGAAATTACAGAGTCAGGCACAGGCTGTTGAACCACAATCAATATCTGTGTAATACATTACAGATCCCTTGGTAATTGATGCAGTAACAAAGTGAAATGCAAGGTTATTTGTATAGCACAGTTCATACAATGCTTAAATTGCTCAAGTATAAACAATCATACAAGGCATTAAAATTTAAACTTATCCAGGTTTGCAATTACATTAATATATTACTGGAACTGAGCAAATGATTTCCAGTATTTGTTATAAAGTGTGACATCAGTATAATATAAAACATCCTAATTTTAAGGATATTTCCATTTTGATAAATTCCAGCTAGAGATTGATTAATTATCAACATAATCTGTTCTAAGTGGTGCATGCCCAAAATGTTCCTAGTCATGTATGCAGTGCAGTGCTAAACTGCTTTACGTAACTACAGCAATCAATATTGTTAAAAGGCTAAATGCTAACTGCTAGTTAGCAAGTAAACAGTGCGATGCTATAACCAGAAAGCTCATGGAGTCAAAGGGAGAAGAAATATTTTCATAGATTTCAGATTAATGCATTAAAATGTGGAACAGTCTTCCAGAAAATGAGACATGTTTCTTTGAAAATGTAAATCCAGGTTAAAGTCATGTTTAGCTGCAACTACTATGAAATGCATCTTCACATAAAATCAGTCCATTTAATGTACGGTGATTATTTGAGACCAATTCCTTGTGTGATCGTTTCCATCTTGCCTTGTGTATGAACTGTGCTACACAAATAAACTTGTCTAGCAAGTAAATAAAGTGCACAGAGAAAGTCAAAGTTCATTCCAAAAATGCGCATACACGGAGTGATTACACTCCCAAAACTAAAAGTGTCAAAGTTCTGCAAAGTTGTTAAATCTATTTAGATGCAGATTCAGTCATATTTGTAGTTCGACCTCTGTCAAAACGAAACAACCCTTTTACGTGTCCACCATAGCGAACACATTTAGATCATAATAAATTCATTTAGCACGTGTTTGAAAGCTAAATGCACGCGCACATATTAGCTTCGTGACTTCAACATTACACCCATGCACTTTTTGGTCAAAATAACAGATTCTAAAATAACCACTGCTGCGAAACTGGGATTTTCTTCACACGATTTCCCCCCCCAGCGGTACTAGAAGTATGGCGGCGCGTGAGTTACAGACTTTAAGTACCATAAACAGAAAATACCAGGGTGAAAGTCATGCACACGTTTCTAGTAACGCCGGACTCACCAGGGAGAACGCCATACCGCCAGAAGTGAGGGTTAAAAGAGGCGCGACGTGAGCAGGGCGTGCACAGGAGACATATGTAAGCCTTTAGCTAGCTGCTCATTAAGAACAATTGGAAGAACGTGTGGTGCCAGCGCGAGGGCCACGACGTCTGCACGTGCTGGAGATCAAAGGCCCCGCTGCTGCCATGGCTGCGTCCCAATTCAGTTGTATTCAAACATGCCTCCTTCCTTTGCTTCCGAACACATGGTAAAACTATGGAAAATACTGTTACTTTATTGTATGTTTGCATCTAAATATTTACAGTATATGGTATATATATTTGCATGTGTAAGTATGTACTGCAAGTGCAGTAGGCAACAGAAGAATGAACAAAAGTAAGGAAAGCAATAATGGTTAATATTTATAAAAGTAAAATTTCTACTCGAATGAAAACAATCAATCAAATGGCGTGTATAGTATAGTTTTTAACGTTACTTTACCAAACCCGGAGTTGTCCTATTTCGTAAAAAAGCAAATGAAAAGTGGTTTTTGTTTCATCAAATTGGATGCTACCGCAGAGGGCACGAAGCGCACTTTTAATACACGCATGCGCCAACCATGAAAGACAAGTACACTGAATAAAATAAAATAAAAAGTATGGATACAACCGTGCTAATCATATCAAAATTAGTATCATTTCAAGTTGATTAATTTCTGAAATTTCCCCACTGTGGGACAATTAACGTAATTGTTACATGGCTCTAATCACCACAGCATTTGTCTCAGAGGACTTTAGAAATGGTCGCTTCCTCAACAACAGATCAGAGAATCAAACATCTTGAACACAGGAAATACAATCGTTATTTAATCAGGATGTCTTTTCTATTTTTAATCTTGTATCATTTCTAATCACACTCTAATTGATTACTCACAGCAAGAAGGTCCTGGATTAGATTCCACCTCCAGCTATATAAAAAATACTCACTGCTTATTATTAGATGTAGAGTTGTCCTGAAATAATGTATGTATCAGGACTGTTTCAGCATCAGGATTTTGTGAGGCCCAAAACATCAAGGTGTGTAGACTTTTGATCTCCGTCATTTCAGTGCCCCTTCCTAACAGCTTTATTGATGATTTCATTATCTATTTTGACATAGTTGTACATAGTTGCAGCTAAGGAATATTCACTCACACACAATAATAGTATATTTTAAATACTGGGGCATGTAAACTAGGTGAGGTAATGAAGATGGTATAATACAGTTGTTATTATTAATGTTTTTTCATAAGCAAGTAATCAAGCAAGTAAATTAACCCTTACCTTACTAGTGTTACTACAAAACTCACATTGGTGTTTGGCAGGATCAGTCCAGTTCTCAAGGTATGTGAGAAAAACCAAACAAAAAAAGATTTAAAAAAATATGGAATTTGCTATTAGTTTGCTGTAAAATAAGTAGTCTCTAAAATACTTTGAGTTCATAAGTTACTTTATAACTATATACAATATAAGGAAAACCAAAACGATATACAGTTTCTCACTCTCAAACAGTTTTCCATGTATATTTTTTATCTTGAACCATATATAGTCCAGGGTCGTGGTGGCACCAGATGGTAATACTGCTGAGGGGTGTGATTAAGGGATGAATGATAAAAATTGATTCTATTCAGTATCGCAATATTTTGCACACACGATTATATTAATATTGTAGAGAAGAGGTCGGGATGCTTCTTAGCTGAGTGCAATAAAAAGTCTCCTAACTAAACATGAATTTCTGTGGGAGTCATACATACTTTTGTTTCACTGTGAATAAAACATTTAAAAACAAGATCAATACATTTATATTGAGATTTCAGTAATGTAATTAATGTCTTATTTTGTTGAATACCATCTTCATACTTAAGAAATCCAGTGCCAAGATTCTACCTGAGAGCCAGACACAAGCATAAGATTCAGAATCAAAAGTCACATACGGCTCCCGAGGCAAAGGTTCCTGACCCCTGCGATAGAGCAAAGTATGCAATATTTAACTAAATAATTATCTAGTGTTAGTGTTTTCTGCGAGTCACTTACTACTGAAAAGGTCTAATGGCCACATGGAAACGTGGTTTGGGCCATAACATGACACCTGGGTTACAGTAAATGAAAATAGATAAAGATGAGTTGATCCTTTATTTGTCTCACAGTGGGGTAATGCCAATGTTGCATCACCAGTTGCAGAACAGTAGGAATGAGGAGCAAGATAAGTGAACAATAACTCTATATCAAGTAAAATAAAATCTAATTTTAAAAAGTGTAAAATCTCTAACTTTGGCATAATGAAGAAGCAGGAATTAAGTACAAAATCTCTGACTTTAGCATAATAACAAAGTAAGACTTACTTACTTTGTTATTATACAATTTCTAAATTTGGCATAATACAATACAATACAATGTATTCTTGTATAGCTCTAAGTCACAACAGAAGTCATCGCAGAGGACTCAACAAAACCAACACAGGTCAGAGAATCAACTGTTAAAACACATGAAAAATATAAAGCACACACAGAAGAAAATGTCCATACATGTTGTAGAATGCTAAAGTGTCCTGATCATCACCAATCCTTTCTGTTGGACACTAATTGTCCAACAGACCCTCCTGCATCAACAAATAAAAAAAACCAGTGGGAAAAAGTGAGAAACCTTGGGGAGACCTAGGGAAACCCACAGGGAGGGAGACCCATTTGAACATTTAAATTCCACAAAGGTCTATACAAAGGAGAAGGCATGATAAGGAAGGTTACAGTAGTTTAACCACAGACTGTATTTGAACCACAGCCTGTATGGTTCACAGACTGTATTTGAACCATGGAGCTATACTAATTTGAACACAGCCAAAGGATATAAGCGCCATGTGGCACCCGCGCCAGCAGAGGGCGCTGCTCTGTAACGCGTTGCTTCCTGTATTTCCTCTGTTTGCGTCTGCTCTGCTGTGGGAATCAAACAGTGCTGCTGCTGCTGTCCTCTACGCCTCACAAAAATGTCCTACAACTACGTGGTGACGGCGCAGAAGCCCACCGCGGTGAATGCATGCATCACGGGTAAGGCCCTGCTCTGCGCCCGGAGGTCTGCGGAGGATCCCCTGGCCTCTCTGACGCAGGTCCCGCGCTTATGCACTACTCCTGGGCCTGCTGCAGAGCTAGCTCCCCTCATGCTGCTGTTTACATCTTAGCCAGAGAGTGTTTGGAGCATGCTCTAGTGCAAAGAGGACTGTCTGTGCTCAAGTCCAAGTGCTGTCTGCAGAAAGGGTGATTAAAGCTGGGGTACCTGGGTTATAAAGCGCGAAAGATAACATGTATTAAACCACCTCGGTATTTCCAAGCTGTCAAAACAGTTTGCTCCATCACTTGTCACGTGGAAAGTAGTTTTAGCTCTTGTTTTTCCATTCACAAGGCAAGGCCAGTTTATTTGTATAGTACAAGACAGAAACAATTATACAAGGCGAAGGCATTAAAATCATCAATAATCAGGACTCTTTCCTTACATTAAAAAGAGTCAAGATAAAATTCTTCAGTTGTTGCACAGATAAACTGAACTCTTTTTAACCTGGATTTGAACATTGTCAGAGAAGAAGCCTGTCTCACATATTCAGGAAGACTGTTCCAGATTTTAGCTGAATATGAAGGGTTGCCTACACATGTTTAGTCCTGACTCTGGGACCAAAGTTGACATGTCTCCGATGTTTGTAGAGGTAATATACTTACAGTGTTATACTGGCCTTACCTGCAGGTGAAAGTCAGATCCTGTCAGACCGCTGAAGCTAAGCAGGACAGGGTCTGGTTAGTACTGTGATGGGAAACATCTGGTAACACGAGGTGCCACAGTGGGGCGACTGCGGTTAAAAAGTGCCAAACTGCTGTTGTGTCTTTAGGCAAAACACTTCCCCCACATTAGAATGAGTCTGGTGTGTGTGAATGGTTGGTGGTGGTGGGAGGGGCCAATCACACAGACTGGGTGCCTCGCTTCTGTCAGTATGCCCCAGGGCAGCTGTTGCTACAATAGTTTATCACCACAGTGCATGGAGTGAATGAAGAATGACATGTTACGCTTTTTGAGTTTCCAGACAATTGCTCTATAAAACCAATTTTGTATTATTATTATCATTAATATAAGAAAAAGTGTGTTCTCTATTGCTGATGACTGACATGTTATATTTATAACTCTTTGATTGTCTGCTTCTTGGGTTTAACTTAATAATGACAATGTGTATAACAATAAATTATATAAAACTTTAATACTACACAAGAAGCTGAATTTTAGTGTTCTTTTGTTGTTGTTGTAGGAAGTCACAAACAAGGAATTTGCTTTGGCTCATGGTGCAATTTATGCCAGTATAAATATAAGGCCTACATAAAAAAGAAAAAGACGAGAGATTTGTAGAAGTGACTTGATTCCCTGCCGCAAAATAAATACCTGATCAAAATCCCTATCAAACCGATGACATTAAGGTGTAGAAATGGATTTGTAGTTTGGTTCATTAAGCATCACAATCATTAGCAATACTGCAGTTTGAGAATGTCCACATGTTACTTTATCCACTATTTGTCTATATGGATATTTACAGCTAGTTAAGAAGCATTACAGCTACTTGTTTTGACATTGGCATTTACCCTCTGTGGCACAATTAAATCCAAAGTTGCTGCTACTGAACTACATTAAACTAAATTCTTATGAAGAGAGTTGTTGTTTGTCTAATCACACATCTGAGGTCGCTATTTGTAAAAAAAGGTGCCCTACAAATAAAAGTTTAATGATGTATTTCCTTCAGGTCACTTCACCTCTGCGGACGACCTGAACCTGCTCATCGCCAAAAACACTCGTCTGGAGATCTATGTGGTGACGGCAGAAGGGCTGCGGCCCGTCAAAGAGGTGGGAATGTACGGCAAGATCGCAGTCATGGAGCTCTTCAGACCAAAGGTGAGTCTGTGTCTGTGTGTGTGTGTGTCTCTGTCTCTCTGTTTGTGTGTTTGTGTCTGTGTCTCTGTGTGTGTTTTGTATTTCTCTGTGTGTGTTTGTTGGTCTGTGTGTGTGTGTTTGTCTTTCTCTGTGTCTCTGTGTGTGAGTCTGTGTGTGTATGTGTGTGTTTGTGTTTCTCAGTGTCTCTGTGTGTGTCTGTGTCTCTGTGTGTCGGTCTGTGTGTGTCTCTGTCTCTGTCGATGTCTCTCTGTCTGTGTCTTTGTGTCTATGTCTCTGTGTGTGTGTGTGTTTGTGTCTCTGTGTGTGTTTGTGTCTCTCTGTATGTCTGTATCTCTCTGTGTGTGTGTCTGTGTTTGTGTCTCTGTGTGTGTGTCTCTATGTGCGTCTCTCTGTATTGAGGGGAAGACCACAACTAGATACTGTGACACATGAGGGCAGGGGAGCTTTTTTGTATAACTTGTGTGTTAAATTGTATAATAATTTCTGCCTGATAATATAAGGTCATGTATTCATACAGTATCTCCATAGTAAATGACTCTCTGTGTTAAATACACTCACTCATGCAGAGGTGTTGCATAGACTTTATAGGCTGTGAAAAGACCTTTTTTTTTTGAGTTGCCAACAAAAAAGATAAGAGGAGAATGAGATCAACTTTTATTTGTCCCACAGTGGAAATGTCAATGTCATAGTGGCTCATTACAGCAGAATATATGGAGAAACAAAAGCACTCAGGTTATATACTCATCAAACAAGATCTATTATTTAAGATTATAGATTAAAACTCTGGAGGTATAATTGCACTTGGATCAACGATAAGTCACTTTTGGAGTATTCTCTGAAGTTATGAGGTTTCATATTTACCAATGGTTTTTAAACTTATTTTTGTATCGCCCAAGATCACAACAGAAATTATCTCTGAGGACTTTACAGAGCTGTCGATTTCCCAACATAAATCAGAGAATCAAACAGTTCAAGCATCGGAAATGCAATGATCAAAAACACATAGAGCCACTGGTCCATAAGGAGCAGAGACCAATGTCCATAAATGTTGATGAATGTTGAGTGTCCTGGATCATCAAGGACAATCTTCTTTAACATGTTGTAATGCATTGATGACTTCATAGAACCTGCGACAGACCTTGACCATGTCCAAATGTCAAATATGTAACATCGTGTCATTTTAGGGGGAAAGCAAAGACCTGCTGTTCATCCTGACGTCCAAATACAACGCCTGCATCCTGGAGTACAAACAGAACGGAGAGAGCATTGACATCATCACACGCGCCCACGGCAACGTACAGGTGAGGCTCCGCGCAAGCTAGCCCCAGAAACATGAATCATTTAAAGGTTTTACATTTGATGGAGCCAGATCCAAGGCCTTAGTCAAAATTTGACAAAAAAGGAAAAACGTATAAACTTTTTTGCCATTGGGCGACTTTGTGGCTGAGTGGGTAGCGCTCAGAGAGAGAGAGAGATCGATCTCTCTTGTGTGGAAGGATTAATAAAGTTTGATTTTGTCTTGCAGGACCGTATTGGGCGTCCCTCAGAGACCGGCATCATTGGGATCGTGGACCCCGAGTGCCGGATGATCGGTCTGCGTCTGTACGACGGTCTGTTTAAGGTCATCCCTCTGGACCGCGACAACAGAGAGCTCAAAGCCTTCAACATCCGCCTGGAGGAGCTGCAGGTCATCGACGTACACTTCCTCTACGGCTGTCCCGCTCCCACAGTCTGCTTCATCTACCAGGTACCAGCACTCTCCTGGACCATGTGTGCACATACCAGCATCGACAACTTGGGCTTACAATTCCACAGTTCTTCTTCAGTCAGAGGGTTCAGAGTTTTCTTTGCTCAGACTAAAAAAACCCTCTGTCATTTTGACCCTAATTGAGAGTTTCGGCTGTAATACATAATTTTAAAGATGTAACTGGTGGTGCTCGCTCTGGTCTCTCTCTGGTCTCTCTCTGGCCTCTCTTTGGTCTCTCTCTGATCTCTCTCTCTGTGGTCTCTCTCTGGTCTCTCTCTGTGGTCTCTCTCTGGTCTCTCTCTGGTTTCTCTCTGGTCTCTCTCTCTGGTCTCTCTGTCTCTGTCTCTGTCTAAAGATATTTTTTATCAATAAAACAACTCAAATTCATTGATTTTGTACATTTTGAGATAACGAACTGTTTTGATTTAGGGCAATACAACAATAAATGTAATTGAAATTGAGCCAAACAGAGTGAGACCTTGAAGCTGACGCCATGTGGTCTGTGCAGGATCCTCAGGGCCGACACGTCAAAACCTACGAGGTCTCGCTTAGGGAGAAGGAGTTCAACAAAGGGCCCTGGAAACAGGAGAACGTGGAGGCCGAGGCTTCCATGGTCATTCCAGGTCCGTTTTAACACGCACTTATACACGGTACCCACATGCACTAGTGTTGGGAAAGATCTAATCTGTTCAATATAGCAATGTTTTGTGCATGCAATTAAATCGATACAGTAAATATTTAATTCAATAACTTTCTGTTTCCGAGTTTACTCTTGGAATTTATATCTTCTAAATATCATTATGGTATTGACCTGCTGCTCACATGAGTACATCTGTGACATGTTAGTGCCATATGAACCAACTCTGACTCTGAGGAGCACAGGGACTGGTCTCCTGCTTGTCCCAGAGTCAGGACTAGGCTTGAGGAGGCAGCGTTTCATATTAATGCAGTTATAATTTGGAACACTATTCCTGAAAATTTGATAATATTGCTGCTACAACTGAAGGATTTTATTAACTCTTTTTAATGTACAGCAGATGCACATTATCTATGCCATGTGTATGAATTGTGCTATACAAATAAACCTTGGCTTGTCTTGCTGAGGGTTGACATTTCCTCTGTGGTGTTGTATTTCAGTGCCAGAGCCATTCGGTGGCGCTATAATCATAGGACAAGAATCCATCACGTACCACAACGGAGACAAGTACCTGGCTATCGCTCCTCCTACCATCAAGGTAAGACCACAATTTAAACATGTGATCTATGGCTTTTTTATAATCATGCAGGTTTTAGACCAAAAAATGACTTTCATTGAATATGAGTTTGATATAATTGAATATATTACTATGAACAAACTGAATCTAGCTGCTTCGATTGAAACAAAACTGGACCAAAAGCAACAAGGCTTTATTTTGTAGACTGGGTTTATTAAAGTTAAATTTGAATCATTGCTTATTGCATTCAGGGTTCAATGTTTATGGTCAAATAAATTCTGTGTAAAGGACCTATGGAGCGGCAGGAAACACAATGGTCTGAATCTTTAGGCTTTTTAACTCATTGACTGCTAGCCGTTTTTAATGATTTCATTGATTCTCAAGACCCACAGAATATCATTTACAAAGACTATGTGAAATATAAAACCAGATTCAGAACGACTTGTCTGTCTTCTTTGATCAGCAAAAATAAATTTGTTTCTAGCTATATTTATTGTCCTGTAATCCCCAGTCGAATACAGGGTCTAAGACAAATACGCCAATGGCAGTCAATGGGTTAATTGGCCAAAGAATTTCAACAAATAAACGAGGCCAAAATCTGAAAAAGCTAATCATGCCCAAACTGACCTGACGCAAGACACACAAGGAGAACTTTTAATAAATCAAAGGAGTAACAGGACTACTACACAAAACAAATACATACATGTATTTAAATTAGATTAAGTATAATGAAAATGAATAACCTGAGTAATAATGATAAACATAATATTATCAGCAACTAAACTTTAAACTATATTAACTCAAGTGAACCTCTCAAACTTCCCGTGTGAGGGCGGAGTCAGGCCTCACAGGTGGTTTTTGTGAGAAAATGATCTCAACTATGTCTGACAAATGAGCACTCACATTAACGTTTGGTGTCCACTAGGGGGCCTCACAAGACCATTTCTGCATGTTAGAGGCCACTGCTTTAATAGTTTCATCAGGATACATTTATAATATGTCTCTTTCACCTCCACCAAGCCACTGGTTCTACTTCGTTCACAATTTTCTTTTCTGAATGATCTGACGGCGCTGTGCTCTGTATTTGCTTTAAAAGAAAATCTCAGTCTTCCTCTGTGTCCCAAGGCCCTCACTGTTTGCTCTGTTTGCTGAGTGCGTGTGCCTCGTTTCTTTCATGACGTAAATTTTAAATCAACATCGACTTTTTAAATGGACTAAATGTATAATAAAGACCCACGGGTGTCATAAATAAACTCTTAATATCAGGGACATGTCTCCTTTTTAGATTGATACATTATTGATCCCTGTTGTAGAAATTCAGCAGCGAAGCACATCCATCCATCCAAACGCATAAACATATAATTATAAAAGTTACTAACAATATTACTATAATTTCTGGAGAATAAGCTGCTACTTTTTCTAGTTCTTTGATCCCTGCGGCTTATTTTGGGATGCAGCTATTGTGTCTTTTTATTGTGGTTGAGTTGTCAGAGCATATTTTGACTAGCTACAGGACACTGATTTATTGTCTGAATGGATGAAGGTGAATGGTTCTTGGAAGCTAATGGTTTGTGGACAACATTATTTATTGTCTAAAATATAACCTGAATGAATGAGTTTTTATTCGAACAATGCAAAAGAAAAATGCGTGTACAATGTATGTACTATTTTCCCCTCAACGAATAAATAAAACAATCATGTTTGAAATGGAGCAGGAAGAAGTATAATACTTATGTAACCCCGCCCCCTTTTCTACTTATCAATATAACAGAAAAAAAAACATTTTGACTTCCCCCATGGTGCGTTCCCACTGCAGATGCATGGACGTCTGTTGATAGAGGCCTCGACGTAGATATCAGCAGCATGAGTTTGGTCAATCTGACGTACTGCTGTGATGGGGGAAAACACAGGGCGGAAGTGGTGTGCGGACCTAATATACTAACCCTAACGAGTTTAAGCTTGCGGCCTTTTATGCACCCGCAGCATCTGAACCATGGATTAATTGTTTTATTAAACTGTAATTTTGTATCGGAACACGTTAGCAGCACTTGGTTACAGTCACAGTAGAATGTCAACTCAGGATGAATACATAATGTTCACAAACACTGTCTCCTCCATTGGTTTGATCCTGTTTTTAATCTTGTTTTAGTCCTGGTTTATTTCATTTTTTGGTTCTTGCCCCCGTAGCCGCTGGGTTTTAAACTGTGGTTGACTCATTGTATTGTGATTAAAATTCAATTGAAAAGAGAAAGAGGAGGAGGAGGAGGATGAGGAGGAGATTGAAAGTACTGTCCTGCCTCCCACTGTTTGTTGGTGTGATGTTTGAGCAGAGAGAGAGAGAGAGAGAGTGAGTCCTGATGGTCGTCCTCAGCAGATGTCCCAAGTTACTGCTAAACCCATGAAGTGAAATTCAAATGAAGGACCAGGTGGAGATGGAGGAATCTGCATTTTAATGGTCACGATGAAGGTGTTAGGAGCTAGGAGCAGGCTGCAGCTTTAAAGGAAATGTTTCCCGTCATGAATTAAACATGATTCATTCAAATATGGATTTTTTTCAGCCGCTGGTTCATTCATATCACAGATTCATAGACTGCCCGATCATCAGTCTCAGATCCCCAGACCATAAACAAACTCTGCACCAAAAATTTCTATCCAGGGGTCTCATGAGTCATGTTGCAGCCAAATATCCGTTCAGGGGTATTTTGATAGTTTTTTGTAGTTAATTCAATAGCAATGTTTGTGTTTGATCAGAAGCAGTATTATTTGTATTGCTATTGATGTTTGTAACAGGAAGTCACAAACTAGGAATGTTCTTTGACTCATGGTGCAAATAAGTTATAAGAGTAAAAAGGTAAAGAATAATAGCAATGGATTTGGATTTCTTGGTAGCTTTCAAGACGCCCACGGACGCCTTTACAATATATTAAAAAAATCACACACAATATTAAAAATACATATAAAAGCTACAAAGAAAAAGTCAGTTTAAAAGGTAGGTTTTTAGATGTGACTGCAGCATGCAAGAATCAAATCTCTCTGTAAAATATTATATACAACATTTATCAGTGCAGTAATTTGCAATATACATTTCCTGTCTGACTAAAACCATTTAACTATCAACACAACAATAATAATAATACACTTTAGTAAATAATACATACTTTTTTGTGTGTATTACAAACTCAAAGGAGAAAATGGCTGCTATGATTTATTCTAGTTTTAAATCCAGATTTTTTGTGTCTGTCTGTCTCTCTGTCTCTGTGTGTGCCCCCTTTTGTGTGTCTCTGTGTGCCCATTTGTCTGTGTGTGTCTCTGTGTGCGTCTGTATATGCGTATAGATGTGTATGTATATTTGCCACTGGGTTTTGTGCTTTTCTCCACATGTGTGGGGATTATGTTTGAAAACCCAATAAAAATACAGCTAAAAACAAAGACATTTCTATTCTCCTCCTGCCCGTAGTTCACCTCAGTCCTCTGTCTCTCCTTATAAACATTTAATTCACCAGTGATGAGTTGTAGCATTAGCATTCACATATTTTTAAGCCCTGGCACAAAACGTACAACAATGTTCAGGGCGTTTATTAATAAATCGTCACTCTGGGGCCGGGAGGCGAGATAAATGCAGACCGTGCTCCTTTCAAGCGCCTCATACATTTTTGAAAGCAGTCTTCGGTGGTCTGGATATAACAAGCTAATTACCTGCCATTCAACAGAGGTGCTGGCCGCTTTTTTTGTTCATTTCCTACAAATCCATAGACGCTTCAACAAAAGATGTAAGCAAGGCAGGCGTTAGAGGGATTGGGAAAATCAGTTTTGTAGAAGTTCTGCCAAGTGAGAAATTACAGTAGACGATGACAATAAAGCGAGTGCAGGGGAGGCTCTGTCACGCTTCAGCAGGTTTAATGCTGCTTCCAATCAGGACTATTATTCCAGTCTCTACTTCATCCACTTCCTCCAGGGCCCAGGGAGATAAGAGGTGTCAGTGTTACTGTTAGTGTTGGACATATTTGGGAGCGTGTCTGTCCAAGATGACTCTGATAGGCTTTTTATGTTCAATTTCAATTCAATTTATTCTTGTACAGTATAGGCCTAAATCTCAACAGTGGTTTTCTCAGAGGACTTTACACAACCATTGAATCCGCCAACGCAGATCAGAGAATCAAACACAGGAAATAGAAATAGTAAAACACATTGGTATTGGTCCATAAGGGCAGATGACCTCATGATGTTCTAATCAATGAATAGACACAGAGGAGAGGGTCTGAAACATTTTTTATATTCAGGACTGATTATGTGGTTGTTTCAGGAAAGGGGTGATGTGGTTGTTTCAGGACAGGGGTTGTGTGGTTGTTTCAGGACAGGGGTTGTGTGGTTGTTTCAGGACAGGGGTTGTGTGGTTGTTTCAGGACAGGGGTTGTGTGGTTGTTTCAGGACGGGGTTGTGTGGTTGTTTCAGGACGAGGGTTGTGTGGTTGTTTCAGGACAGGGGTTGTGTGGTTGTTTCAGGACGGGGTTGTGTGGTTGTTTCAGGACGGGGTTGTGTGGTTGTTTCAGCGGGTTGTGTGGTTTCAGGACAGGGTGTGTGGTTGTTTCAGACGGGGGTGTGTGTTCAGAGGGTGTTGTTTCAGGACAGGGTTGTGTGGTTGTTTCAGGACGGGGGTTGTGTGGTTGTTTCAGGACGAGGGTTGTGTGGTTGTTTCAGGACGAGGTTTGTGTCGTTGTTTCAGGAAAGGGGTGATGTGGTTGTTTCAGGACAGGGGTTGTGTGGTTGTTTCAGGACGAGGGTTGTGTGGTTGTTTCAGGACGGGGGTTGTGTGGTTGTTTCAGGACGGGGGTTGTGTGGTTGTTTCAGGACGGGAGTTGTGTGGTTGTTTCAGGACGAGGGTGGTGTGGTTGTTTCATGTCGAGAGTTGTGTGGTTGTTTCAGGAAAGGGGTGATGTGGTTGTTTCAGGACAGGGGTTGTGTGGTTGTTTCAGGACAGGGGTTGTGTGGTTGTTTCAGGACAGGGGTTGTGTGGTTGTTTCAGGACAGGGGTTGTGTGGTTGTTTCAGGACAAGGGTTGTGTGGTTGTTTCATGTCGAGGGTTGTGTGGTTGTTTCAGGACGAGGGTTGTGTGGTTGTTTCAGGACGAGGGTTGTGTGGTTGTTTCAGGACGAGGGTTGTGTGGTTGTTTCAGGACGAGGGTTGTGTGGTTGTTTCAGGACGAGGGTTGTGTGGTTGTTTCAGGAAAGGGGTGATGTGGTTGTTTCAGGACAGGGGTTGTGTGGTTGTTTCAGGACAGGGGTTGTGTGGTTGTTTCAGGACAGGGGTTGTGTGGTTGTTTCAGGACAAGGGTTGTGTGGTTGTTTCAGGACGAGGGTTGTGTGGTTGTTTCAGGACGAGGGTTGTGTGGTTGTTTCAGGACGAGGGTTGTGTGGTTGTTTCAGGACGAGGGTTGTGTGGTTGTTTCAGGACGAGGGTTGTGTGGTTGTTTCAGGACGAGGGTTGTGTGGTTGTTTCAGGACGAGGGTTGTGTGGTTGTTTCAGGACGAGGGTTGTGTGGTTGTTTTATGTCGAGAGTTGTGTGGTTGTTTCAGGACAGGGGTGATGTGGTTGTTTCAGGACAGGGGTCGTGTGGTTGTTTCAGGACGGGGGTTGTGTGGTTGTTTCAGGACGAGGGTTGTGTGGTTGTTTCAGGACGAGGGTTGTGTGGTTGTTTCAGGACGAGGGTTGTGTGGTTGTTTCAGGACGGGGGTTGTGTGGTTGTTTCAGGACGAGGGTTGTGTGGTTGTTTCAGGACGAGGGTTGTGTGGTTGTTTCAGGACGAGGTTTGTGTCGTTGTTTCAGGAAAGGGGTGATGTGGTTGTTTCAGGACGAGGGTTGTGTGGTTGTTTCAGGACGGGGGTTGTGTGGTTGTTTCAGGACGGGAGTTGTGTGGTTGTTTCAGGACGAGGGTGGTGTGGTTGTTTCATGTCGAGAGTTGTGTGGTTGTTTCAGGAAAGGGGTGATGTGGTTGTTTCAGGACAGGGGTTGTGTGGTGGGTTGTGTGGTTGTTTCAGGACGGGGGTTGTGTGGTTGTTTCAGGACGGGGGTTGTGTGGTTGTTTCAGGACGAGGGTTGTGTGGTTGTTTCAGGACGAGGGTTGTGTGGTTGTTTCAGGACGAGGGTTGTGTGGTTGTTTCATGTCGAGAGTTGTGTGGTTGTTTCATGTCGAGAGTTGTGTGGTTGTTTCAGGAAAGGGGTGATGTGGTTGTTTCAGGACGGGGGTTGTGTGGTTGTTTCAGGACGGGGGTTGTGTGGTTGTTTCAGGACGAGGGTTGTGCGGTTGTTTCAGGACGAGGTTTGTGTCGTTTCAGGAAAGGGGTGATGTGGTTGTTTCAGGACGGGGGTTGTGTGGTTGTTTCAGGACGGGGGTTGTGTGGTTGTTTCAGGACGGGGTTGTGTGGTTGTTTCAGGACGAGGGTTGTGTGGTTGTTTCAGGACGAGGGTTGTGTGGTTGTTTCAGGATGAGGGTTGTGTGGTTGTTTCAGGACGAGGGTTGTGTGGTTGTTTCAGGACGAGGGTTGTGTGGTTGTTTCAGGACGAGGGTTGTGTGGTTGTTTCATGTCGAGAGTTGTGTGGTTGTTTCAGGACGAGGGTTGTGTGGTTGTTTCAGGACGAGGGTTGTGTGGTTGTTTCAGGACAGGGGTGATGTGGTTGTTTCAGGACAGGGGTTGTGTGGTTGTTTCAGGACGGGGGTTGTGTGGTTGTTTCAGGACGAGGGTTATGTGGTTGTTTCAGGACGAGGGTTGTGTGGTTGTTTCAGGACGAGGGTTGTGTGGTTGTTTCGGGACGAGGGTTGTGTGGTTGTTTCATGTCGAGAGTTGTGTGGTTGTTTCAGGAAAGGGGTGATGTGGTTGTTTCAGGACGGGGGTTGTGTGGTTGTTTCAGGACGGGGGTTGTGTGGTTGTTTCAGGACGAGGGTTGTGCGGTTGTTTCAGGACAAGGTTTGTGTCGTTGTTTCAGGAAAGGGGTGATGTGGTTGTTCCAGGACAGGGGTTGTGTGGTTGTTTCAGGACGAGGGTTGTGTGGTTGTTTCAGGACGGGGGTTGTGTGGTTGTTTCAGGACGGGAGTTGTGTGGTTGTTTCAGGACGAGGGTTGTGTGGTTGTTTCATGTCGAGAGTTGTGTGGTTGTTTCAGGAAAGGGATGATGTGGTTGTTTCAGGACAGGGGTTGTGTGGTTGTTTCAGGACGGGGGTTGTGTGGTTGTTTCAGGACGGGGGTTGTGTGGTTGTTTCAGGACAAGGGTTGTGTGGTTGTTTCAGGACGAGGGTTGTGTGGTTGTTTCAGGACGAGAGTTGTGTGGTTGTTTCAGGAAAGGGGTGATGTGGTTGTTTCAGGACGGGGGTTGTGTGGTTGTTTCAGGACGGGTTGTGTGGTTGTTTCAGGCGGGGTTGTGTGGTTGTTTCAGGACGAGGGTTTGTGTGGTTGTTTCAGGACGAGGGTTGTGTGGTTGTTTCAGGACGGGGGTTGTGTGGTTGTTTCAGGACGAGGGTTGTGTGGTTGTTTCAGGACGAGGGTTGCGTGGTATTTCAGGACGAGGGTTGTGTGGTTGTTTCAGGACGAGGGTTGTGTGGTTGTTTCAGGACGAGGGTTGTGTGGTTGTTTCAGGACGAGGGTTGTGTGGTTGTTTCAGGACGAGGGTTGTGTGGTTGTTTCAGGACGAGGGTTGTGTGGTTGTTTCATGTCGAGAGTTGTGTGGTTGTTTCAGGAAAGGGGTGATGTGGTTGTTTCAGGACGAGGGTTGTGTGGTTGTTTCAGGACGGGGGTTGTGTGGTTGTTTCAGGACGGGGTTTGTGTGGTTGTTTCATGTCGAGAGTTGTGTGGTTGTTTCAGGAAAGGGGTGATGTGGTTGTTTCAGGACAGGGGTTGTGTGGTTGTTTCAGGACGGAGGTTGTGTGGTTGTTTCAGGACGGGGGTAGTGTGGTTGTTTCAGGACGAGGGTTGTGTGGTTGTTTCAGGACGAGGGTTGTGTGGTTGTTTCATGTCGAGAGTTGTGTGGTTGTTTCAGGAAAGGGGTGATGTGGTTGTTTCAGGACAGGGGTTGTGTGGTTGTTTCAGGACGGGGGTTGTGTGGTTGTTTCAGGACGGGGGTTGTGTGGTTGTTTCAGGACAAGGGTTGTGTGGTTGTTTCAGGACGAGGGTTGTGTGGTTGTTTCATGTCGAGAGTTGTGTGGTTGTTTCAGGAAAGGGGTGATGTGGTTGTTTCAGGACGGGGGTTGTGTGGTTGTTTCAGGACGGGGTTTGTGTGGTTGTTTCAGGACAGGGGTTGTGTGGTTGTTTCAGGACGAGGGTTGTGTGGTTGTTTCAGGACGAGGGTTGCGTGGTTGTTTCAGGACGAGGGTTGTGTGGTTGTTTCAGGACGAGGGTTGTGTGGTTGTTTCAGGACGAGGGTTGTGTGGTTTTCAGGACGAGGGTTGTGTGGTTGTTTCAGGACGAGGGTTGTGTGGTTGTTTCATGTCGAGAGTTGTGTGGTTGTTTCAGGAAAGGGGTGATGTGGTTGTTTCAGGACGAGGGTTGTGTGGTTGTTTCAGGACGGGGGTTGTGTGGTTGTTTCAGGACGGGGTTTGTGTGGTTGTTTCAGGACGGGGGTTGTGTGGTTGTTTCAGGACGAGGGTTGTGTGGTTGTTTCAGGTCGAGGGTTGTGTGGTTGTTTCATGTCGAGAGTTGTGTGGTTGTTTCAGGACGAGGGTTGTGTGGTTGTTTCAGGACGAGGGTTGTGTGGTTGTTTCAGGACAAGGGTTGTGTGGTTGTTTCAGGACGAGGGTTGTGTGGTTGTTTCAGGACGAGGGTTGTGTGGTTGTTTCAGGACGAGGGTTGTGTGGTTGTTTCATGTCGAGAGTTGTGTGGTTGTTTCAGGAAAGGGGTGATGTGGTTGTTTCAGGACGGGGGTTGTGTGGTTGTTTCAGGACGGGGGTTGTGTGGCTGTTTCAGGACGAGGTTTGTGTGGTTGTTTCAGGACGGGGGTTGTGTGGTTGTTTCAGGACGGGGGTTGTGTGGTTGTTTCAGGACGAGGGTTGTGTGGTTGTTTCAGGACGAGGGTTGTGTGGTTGTTTCAGGATGAGGGTTGTGTGGTTGTTTTATGTCGAGAGTTGTGTGGTTGTTTTAGGAAAGGGGTGATGTGGTTGTTTCAGGACGGGGGTTGTGTGGTTGTTTCAGGACGGGGGTTGTGTGGCTGTTTCAGGACGAGGTTTGTGTGGTTGTTTCAGGACGGGGGTTGTGTGGTTGTTTCAGGACGGGGGTTGTGTGGTTGTTTCAGGACGAGGGTTGTGTGGTTGTTTCAGGACGAGGGTTGTGTGGTTGTTTCAGGACGAGGGTTGTGTGGTTGTTTCGGGACGAGGGTTGTGTGGTTGTTTCATGTCGAGAGTTGTGTGGTTGTTTCAGGAAAGGGGTGATGTGGTTGTTTCAGGACGGGGGTTGTGTGGTTGTTTCAGGACGGGGGTTGTGTGGTTGTTTCAGGACGAGGGTTGTGCGGTTGTTTCAGGACGAGGTTTGTGTCGTTGTTTCAGGAAAGGGGTGATGTGGTTGTTTCAGGACGGGGGTTGTGTGGTTGTTTCAGGACGGGGGTTGTGTGGTTGTTTCAGGACGGGGGTTGTGTGGTTGTTTCAGGACGAGGGTTGTGTGGTTGTTTCAGGACGAGGGTTGTGTGGTTGTTTCAGGATGAGGGTTGTGTGGTTGTTTCAGGACGAGGGTTGTGTGGTTGTTTCAGGACGAGGGTTGTGTGGTTGTTTCAGGACGAGGGTTGTGTGGTTGTTTCATGTCGAGAGTTGTGTGGTTGTTTCAGGACGAGGGTTGTGTGGTTGTTTCAGGACGAGGGTTGTGTGGTTGTTTCAGGACGAGGGTTGTGTGGTTGTTTCAGGACGAGGGTTGTGTGGTTGTTTCAGGACAGGGGTGATGTGGTTGTTTCAGGACAGGGGTTGTGTGGTTGTTTCAGGACGGGGGTTGTGTGGTTGTTTCAGGACGAGGGTTGTGTGGTTGTTTCAGGACGAGGGTTGTGTGGTTGTTTCAGGACGAGGGTTGTGTGGTTGTTTCAGGACGAGGGTTGTGTGGTTGTTTCAGGACGAGGGTTGTGTGGTTGTTTCAGGACGAGGGTTGTGTGGTTGTTTCAGGACAGGGGTGATGTGGTTGTTTCAGGACAGGGGTTGTGTGGTTGTTTCAGGACGGGGGTTGTGTGGTTGTTTCAGGACGAGGGTTGTGTGGTTGTTTCAGGACGAGGGTTGTGCGGTTGTTTCAGGACGAGGTTTGTGTCGTTGTTTCAGGAAAGGGGTGATGTGGTTGTTTCAGGACAGGGGTTGTGTGGTTGTTTCAGGACGAGGGTTGTGTGGTTGTTTCAGGACGGGGGTTGTGTGGTTGTTTCAGGACGGGAGTTGTGTGGTTGTTTCAGGACAAGGGTTGTGTGGTTGTTTCATGTCGAGAGTTGTGTGGTTGTTTCAGGAAAGGGGTGATGTGGTTGTTTCAGGACAGGGGTTGTGTGGTTGTTTCAGGACGGGGGTTGTGTGGTTGTTTCAGGACGGGGGTTGTGTGGTTGTTTCAGGACAAGGGTTGTGTGGTTGTTTCAGGACAAGGGTTGTGTGGTTGTTTCATGTCGAGAGTTGTGTGGTTGTTTCAGGAAAGGGGTGATGTGGTTGTTTCAGGACAGGGGTTGTGTGGTTGTTTCAGGACGGGGGTTGTGTGGTTGTTTCAGGACGGGGGTTGTGTGGTTGTTTCAGGACAAGGGTTGTGTGGTTGTTTCAGGACAAGGGTTGTGTGGTTGTTTCAGGACGAGGGTTGTGTGGTTGTTTCAGGACGAGGGTTGTGTGGTTGTTTCATGTCGAGAGTTGTGTGGTTGTTTCAGGAAAGGGGTGATGTGGTTGTTTCAGGACGGGGTTGTGTGGTTGTTTCAGGACGGGGTTTGTGTGGTTGTTTCAGGACGGGGGTTGTGTGGTTTCAGGACGAGGGTTGTGTGGTTGTTTCAGGACGAGGGTTGTGTGGTTGTTTCAGGACGAGGTTTGTGTCGTTTTTTCAGGACGAGGGTTGTGTGGTTGTTTCAAGACGAGGGTTGTGTGGTTTTCAGGACGAGGGTTGTGTGGTTGTTTCAGGACGAGGGTTGTGTGGTTGTTTCAGGACGAGGGTTGTGTGGTTGTTTCAGGACGAGGGTTGTGTGGTTGATTCATGTCGAGGGTTGTGTGGTTGTTTCAGGACGAGGGTTGTGTGGTTGTTTCAGGACGAGGGTTGTGTGGTTGTTTCAGGACGAGGGTTGTGTGGTTGTTTCAGGACGAGGGTTGTGTGGTTGTTTCATGTCGAGAGTTGTGTGGTTGTTTCAGGACGGGGGTGATGTGGTTGTTTCAGGACGGGGGTTGTGTGGTTGTTTCAGGACGGGGGTGATGTGGTTGTTTCAGGACGGGGGTGATGTGGTCGTTACAGGACGGGGGTGATGTGGTCGTTTCATTACAGGGCGGTAGTGGTTGTTTCAGGACAAAGGTGATTGTTTCAGGACAGGGGTGATGTGGTTGATGGAGAGAGTGTGTGTGATAAGAGGTGCTGCCGTTTTGGACTAGTACTGTAGTAGTAGTTAGTGTACTGTACAGTTTTTTAATGGAAACCAAACAGGAGGGAATTGCAGTAAATCAAACCATAGTATGACCCTAATTCTCATAGTTTTTGGGTTGGCCATCTTTCAGAGACTGCCGGCCAATATGATGCGCATCTTTATTAGATGGGAATTTAAACTCTATCAATCCACTTATTTCCTCTTTATCCCGAGCCAAGTCCTGAGTCCTGGAAGTCCTGGTAATCTCAAATCCTGGATTCCAAAGATACAGAATACAGTAGCTATTTTTCATCGGGTCTACTGTATGTACTCAAACATGTCACAATTAACAAGACTCTCGACTCCAGGACTTGGATAAAACACTCCCTCAAGTAGTAGTTTTAGTTGGAGAGGAAATAAATGCATGGATTGGAACTTTAAAAGATGTTTCGAATTTTTTTAATAAGAACAATTTGTAGTTGCATTAAAAAGATGGCCGCACCAAGCTACTTTCCATCTTTAGTCCTTACAATACAATCTTATAACATGCATATTAAAGTACAGTTTTAACAAAGTGCAAGTTACTGATGTTTACGATTGTATTTATGGTGATCCCGACGATGGAACACAGTCCAGCTTGTGTGTATAATACTAGTATTTGTATGTGAAGCTGCACGGTGGCACATTCTGGACAAATACAACATAAATCTGGTCATAAATGGTCTGACAGCTCATGGCAAATGACAATTCAAAACAAAAAAAGATGCCCCAGCTACAGGCAAAAAACATTCTCTGCAACCAACAAAAATCACACAGGTATCAATCAATAAAAAAAGGCAAGACAAAGTTAGATGGTCAAACAAGAGTATCCAACAGACCAGATATAGACAGACGAGACACAGACAAGACCCAGACGGATACAGACTGTCTTGTCTGTCTGGGTCTGGTCTGTCAGTTGTCACAAGTTACGTCTGAATTGCTCTGAGCTCAGTCTGCATTTGTGTCTATTCGAAAGATGAAGGGGTTTATAGTTTGAACAGTAGGGGGCACTCTTGAGCTATAAAGTCGACCTGCTACATTTCAGGCACTGCTTCACAAGGTGTTGTTGTTATTTTTCTAAATATTCTGACTACAGCTTGTGCAGCTTATGTTTAAATGAAGAGTATTTAGTTTGGCAGTTTCTATGGCCTCCTGCTGTTGTTGTGATTTTGCTGTTTGCCAAAACTTAAAGAAAGTAAAGACTTAAACTGTTGTTCTCAGCGCAAGGACAAGGTTGTTTTGACTCTGAATAGTGACACTTGTGGAACTATTCACTAACTATTGATGGCTCAATAGTGAGTGATATGAATTTTCAGATTTTCCTCCAGGTGCTCCAGTCTCCCCTACCACTAAAGATATGTACAATAGTTCTGGCGTGTCCCTCCTGTATGGAATGAGAGGATGAATGCACACAACAATTGTGAAATGGGGCTATGAAGCTAAGCAGAGTAGGGCATGGTTAGTGCTGTGATGGGAGACCTTTGGGAACACCAGGTGCCACAGTGGGGTGGCTGTGGCTGTAAAGTGCCAAACTGTGGTTGTGTCCTTGGGCAAGATACTTCACCCACATTAGAATGATTCTGGTGTGTGTGTGAATGGTTGGGGTTGGTGGGAGGGGCCAATGGCACAGACTGGTTGCCTTGCTTTTGTCAGTGAGGAGCAGTGTTGGGCACGTTACTTTGAAAAAGTAATTAGTTATAGTTACTAGTTACTTCTCCCAAAAAGTAACTGAGTTACTAACGGAGTTACTCCACTATAAAAGTAACTAGTTACCAGTAAAAGTAACTATTGCGTTACTTTTTCGTTTTGTTCTGGAACATAATGTGCACTCGACGTGCGCATTTTTACCTTTAACCTCAGCGAGTCTGAAATAGTGCCAATATTTCCATCTAGAAAAGGCTGTTTTGCTGCTGAAGTCCTGTTCAGTCTCCATCTCTCTCTGTGCTGTAAGCACTAAACACCAACACCCTCCACTGTGAATGTGGAAACACCGGTGAAGCACTGACTTCAGCCCAATCAGATGAATATATATATCATATAAATCAAGTGGACAATTTGTTTGGCTACAGCAAAATATGTTTCATGGCCGCATTGTTTGTTCATACAAAACGCAAAACTATGAGTTATGGGTCTTACCTTATAAATGACCTGCACAGACCACTTCAGTTCAGACCAGTTCTGTGTTTAAGTCCAGATAATAGTTTGAGCGTAGATATGTAATCCTCCATTTGGAAATGAGTTTTAAAAACGCGTGTGTCCTCCGTAAACTACTCTGTTTTGCTAGGTGCAGCCGGGTGCATCCAATTTCTAAAATCAACCGTCTTACACTTCACCTCTCTTTCTTATCATTCCTATAGTAATTGAAAAATTACCGTAAGTGCATTTTAAATTATCTTAAAATGTGTTATATGTATATTAGCCAAACTTGTTGCAGCCCTTAGCAGATAAACCAGGAAGAGAAAGGAGCTTTCTGATGGAATTGTATGCAGCCGACTTCTGCACTCACATGCGCTCCTCTGAGCCCTCACGGTGATACAAGCTGTGGTTGAGCGCGACTAAGACCCATATTTGTTTCAAAAACACAATTTATGACCATCCTCTCAACTGTAGACATGTGGATTGTAAAGGAAATATGTTTTACATCAGCCAATAATTGCTGAGAGGTTTTCTCATCCTCCCTTCTCTCATGGCAACACGCGCACGAGTCCTATCACGAAGTAAAAAGAGAAGTTCATTGTGCGTCTTGAGTAACGCGCAGTAACGGGATGTCGGAAATGATAACGGCGTTATAGTTACAGTCAAAGTAATTAGTTAGATTACTCGTTACTGAAAAAAGTAACGGCGTTAGTAACGCCGTTACTAGTAACGCCGTTATTCCCATCACTGGTGAGGAGTAATAAAGAAGCTATCTTTTCTGCAAGGTATTTTGTATACAATTAAAAATAAAAGTGACTATAGCGGTGCGAGACATGTGCTGTAGATGCCACTAGTTCTAGACAAAGTGAATATCTGATTTTCAGACCTTGTAACCATCTGCTTTGGTTCTTTTTCTCTTGTGACTTCAGCAAAGCACCATTGTGTGTCACAACCGCGTGGACCCCAACGGCTCGCGGTACCTTCTGGGGGACATGGAGGGCCGGCTCTTCATGCTGCTGCTGGAGAAGGAGGAGCTGATGGACGGGACCGTGGCTCTCAAAGACCTGCACGTGGAGCTGCTCGGAGAGGTGACATCACTTATGCACTGGCTTCAGAAAAACACTGCCTTATACTATAATACTGAACCTACTGTTATAAATCAGTACTTTCTGACTAACAAGATTCACCAATGGGACATTTAGACTTATTTTAACTGTTTCTCATTCCAAGGGAGACATTTCTTGTGATTTAGGGCGATACAAGAATGAATTGAATACCACAGTAGTTATCTCAGGCAAGGCAAGTTTATTTATATAGCACAATTCATACACAAGGCAATTCAAAGTGCTGAACAAAATAAGAAAGCATTAAAATCATAAATAATCACAGAATATTAAAAAAAAAGATATAAATATAAAATCCCTCAGTTGTATGCACAGCTAAACAGAACTGTCTTTAACCTGGTTTTAAACATTGTCAGAGAGGAGGCCTGTCTCACATCTTCAGGAAGACTGTTCCAGATTTTAGCAGCATGAATCTGAAAAGCAGCCTCCCCATGTTTAGTTCTGACTCTGGGCACTAACAGGAGTCCAGTCCCTGTGCTCCTCAGAGTCCGGGCTGGTTCATATGGGACTAACATGTCACTAATATATTTTGGTGCGAGGCCATAGAGAGACTTGTACACAAGCAGAGCTGTTTTAAAGTCTATTCTCTGAGCCACAGGAAGCCAGTGCAGAGACCTGAGGACTGGACTAATGTGGTTGTACTTCCTGGTTCTAGTCAGGACTCGAGCTGCTGCATTTTGAATGTACTGCAGCTGTTTTACAGCCTGTTTCTCAGAGCACTTAACAAAACACACTGATCAGAGAAACAGTTGACATAGGAATTGGTCGGTAGGGGGAGTTGACCAATGTGCATAAATGTTGATAAATGTCCGTTGTTATATCTTTTATATCTTTAAAAACAAAAAAAAAACAAAAAAACATATTAGTCATATGATAGTCCTCATATTAACCTGGCCAGACCACTCCATGGTTTTTGAGGAACAATGGATTGGCTTTGTCTCTTTTTAACGAAAGTTTTTGGAGGTTGTTCCGTAACTCGTCTTTACGTAATGAGTTTCCAGCTTTTTATTTTTTTTAACTTCTATTCCTCAATGAGTCTGGTTGAGTCTCTCAGCCTTGGCAGGTGCAATACTTGGCAGCATTGTTGTGTAGTGGAGTTGTATAAATCTGTAGAGCAAACAGACCTTGGAACTTGTGTGTGTCAAGTGCTTTGAATGTACAGGGTCAAACAACAACAGTAACATTTAGAATGATCTTAAATGCATTCAGTAAACGTGAATAGTATTTAAATGATTTTGGCTTGTGTCGTTTCTGTGAGAGGGAGGGAGAGAGAGGCCACAGAGCGGGGCTACAGAGCGAGAGAGACCAGAGAGACCAGAGAGAGACCAGAGAGAGACCAGAGAGAGACCAGAGAGAGACCAGAGAGAGACCAGAGAGAGACCAGAGAGAGACCAGAGAGAGACCAGAGAGAGACCAGAGAGAGACCAGAGAGAGACCAGAGAGACCAGAGAGACCAGAGAGACCAGAGAGACCAGAGAGAGCGAGCCCGACCAGAGAGAGAGAGCGGCTGTTAAACTCTTGAATGTTATTCTCCGCAGACGTCCATCGCAGAGTGCCTCACGTACCTGGACAACGGCGTGGTGTTTGTAGGGTCCAGACTGGGCGACTCTCAGCTGGTTAAGGTGAGACCAGATACAACAATTACATTATTAACTGGTATTTGGTCATTCTCTGCTCTGGTTCAGAGTGAAATTCAAAGTAAGTAAGTGAAGTTTATTTATACGCCTTTTGCAGATCACAAGTTCACAGAGCCCTTCACAATTTAAAACCTAAAACGGTACATTAAAGTGATAGTCTGTAACTCTAAATGATTTACAAATTTTAGGAATTGTATTAAATTGACCTCCTGGCCTTAAATGTTGATATAAAATAAGTCATTTTATTAATTCTAATATCACGGGCAAGTCCCGCCTTCCCTTCTCTTAGCTATAGTTCAGAATCCACGGTGCCGTCGAGGTTAACCAATCGAGTCATGCCAAGGGCTGTCAATCATCGGCGCTGATGCTCGTAGCTGCTCATGCTCCGTTGTTTGTTTTCGCGGAACCTCAGAATCAAGCCTCTATTAGGCTCTGGAACTACATGAAAACTGAACAAAAAATTCTGAACATCCGCGCTGAGGTACTTGTGTATATACTGAACCTATATCCATAATCATTTATATACTGACCCTATATCCATAATCATTTATATACTGAACCTATATCCATAATCAGATCCTCTGCAGATGTGTCCTATAATGTGCAGTTCATGATAACAGCACTTCCGGGTTTGCCGCGATCACTTTTTGTGTGCATAAAAACATTTTTTTTTCATTAAAACGTAAAAAAATAATTCTGAAAACCTCTGTGCATGTGTATTAATAATGTATATGTATAATATGTTCTCTGATTAACATTTACAAGTGTTACGGAAACTTAGGTGTAGACCAATCAGAAAGGAAGGGGGAGGAGCTTGCGTCGTTTTTTTTCAAATCAAGTACCTCTGTCTCTCTTTCTGACAAACTCCAGACAATCACTTTAAGTCAAAAAAAGTAGCAGAATAATCAATAAAAATTCCAAATGCTTTGTTAGCATTTTGGAGTGTATTTCTGTGGTTTAAGAATGTTCTGTGAAAAAATTGGAACCCGTGGCTTCTGCTGTTAATTGGTGAGCTGTGTCAATGTCAGCTGTGGAAAAATCTTTTATTATTTTTGGCTATGCAAATATGTTCAAAAGCCAGAGAATCCAATGCATGATTCACTTCTCTTTTGGCTGTCTCCTCTTGTGTGTAACGGCGTGTGCTGTAAGTATGTAAGTATGTATGTATGTATGTATGTAAGTAAGTAACCTTTTTTTAATATAGGGCTTTTCACGGACCAGTCACAGAGCGCTTTCTAATTGTGGCCAGAAAGCTGGGGTCGTCAGTACAGGAGGCGCATGCCAGACTTATTGTACATGGTTTTAGTGATAGGGGAAACCGGAGCACCCGCAGGACATGCAACATGCAAGAGAGTGCTATCTGCCCAGCCACTGTGCCGCCCACTGTTGTGTGTAACCGCGTGTGTAACCATGTGTGTAACAGTGTGTTGTGTTTGTGTGCAGCTGAACGTGGACAGTAACGACCAGGGCTCCTTCGTGACAGTGATGGAGACGTTCACAAACCTGGGGCCCATCGTGGACATGTGTGTGGTGGATCTGGAGAGACAGGGCCAGGGCCAGGTGAGACTCTCCCACACATGACCACACTTCATACGTCACACAAAATAAAACTTTTTGCACGGCCCTAGTTTTCCCTATTCTATTGTAGTGCTTCTGGGGGTCTGGGGGCATCAGAGGCAAAAGATACCATTGACATATGGACGAGGGTGCACACATGAGGACACACACACGAGGTTGCACGCACAAAGACACACCAGGACACGCACACACCCCATGGTACCACACACACCATAACTTAAAAGGATAACTCTCTTCATCCTTTAAAAAAATCAAAAACACCATTTCTGCTCTTTGCGATTCAACAATCTTGTTTGTGGGTTTGTGGAGGATCTGATCCACTGCTTTAGGCTCAGTTTCTCTGTTTTGCAAAAGGGTGTCGATGCAGAGGAGAAAAACCAAGATTCCAAATGTGTTGAAAAAGTTTGTTCTTAATCAATAAAAAGCCAGAGGCGCGGAAAACTACACTGCAAGAGTAACCAGGGAAAGCCTTTGTTTGAGAGGGAGACAAAATCTTAATTTATCTACGTAGGGAACTATGTCTTCTGCATTGGACCCAAATGCCACTCCGTCGTCTGTCAGGAGAAGAGGTCGCCGTAGTAACAGCGCCCTGGAACCATCTCCACATGTTGATGCGCTTGGTCAGGACTGCATTTTACCTGTTGTTACATGTTTTTAGTGGTGGGGGAAACCTACGCTGACATGGGGAGAACATACATGACTCATTCTGATATTTGCATATTTCACTGAAGCTAAAGTGCATCTTAGTTCTTTGTTTTGCGTCTCAGGTCTGGGTTCCTGTGAAGCTAGAACGGCAAGGGTCAAATCCTGGCCCAAGGCCCAATTGTGGCCCTTTGGACGCTTCTATCAGGCCCTTGAGCGTTCACCAGTTCATACAGAGACAGTATAAAGACTACAACATCCTTCTGTGCTGCTGCAGAGCTCTGCAATGTTTAATACAATACATTAATGTTTAAAAAGACTAGGCCTGAGATAAACATTGCCCTGAGCTGCCCATTTCTGAGCCAAGGTTCCTTCAAACACTTTAAAATATTGATTTACTGTGTAGAAAATGTAAGGCTCCTGAGGTTGCTTTCAACCTTGGATCCCTCTAACTTTTCCCATGTGGGAATTCTGATACTTTAGCGCTTAAGGATTACATATAATTTCTTATATGCTTTTTAAACGTTCTATCTTACGTTATTCCTCATTCTATGACAACACAAGTTTTGTTTGATCTCTCGCTCTGTTGTTTCTGTTGCATGACGTCAGCAAAAGCAGCTGCGTTGCAACAACCAATGGTGTCATCAGCCACGGCCTATTTCTGTGATGGAAGTGCGTCTGAACTATTAAAGCTTTGTTAATGTCTCGGGGTGTTATAGAGAAATGTCTCAGTCACACATGATTCACACGTAGCTATCACAGCTTTGTTTCAGTGACATTTGTGTTTGGTCTAATGCACAAAACATATTCATTGTGTTGGAGCCCCTAGAATTATAAAAAAACAAATTATCAATATTTACCAAGGGATTTCATGTCTTGGATGCAAAATATTGTCTGGTTTAAGGGACAACGTGGATAATACTGTGAGGATGAAGCTTTTGACAAATGGGTTTATAAAAGAATGTTTGTGGTGAACTGAAGTGTGTTGTGTTGTTTTATTGAGCAGGTTAGTTTTGGATACTAGTTTTGGCTGCCTAATTATATAATATTTGGGTCCTCCTCGCGCAGTGGCTCAGTTGGTAGAGCATTGGCCTTTGAGCCTGAAGGTTGTGGGTTCGAGCCCACCATAAGACCTACTTCACAACTCCAATTGGTGTCTGCTGTCTTTGTGTCCTTGGGCAAGACACTTAACCCTATACTTTGCCTGAAGCCCCCACTGAAAGATCTCGGCTACTGTGGACTCACCACCTGCAGGAGGATCAGTGAAGGGCTGGTGCTCTGTGTACTGGGTGCAGCTCTGACTGCCACCCCCCAACCAAGAAATGGGTTAAGGGGAAGAAGATGGATGGGTCCTCCTCCTGGTCTGTGTGTGTCTTCTCCTGGTCTGTTTGTGTGTCTTCTCCTGGTCTGTTTGTGTGTCTTCTCCTGGTCTGTTTGTGTGTGTGTTCTCCCTCCTTTTGTGTGTGTGTGTGTGTGTTCTCCTAGATTGTGTGTGTGTATTTGCATGTGTTTGTGCCCTCCCTCCCTGCGTTTGTGTTTGTGCCCTCCTGGTCTGTGTTTGTGTGCCCTCCCTCCTTATGTGTGTGTGTGTGCGCGTGTGTGTGCCCTCCTTGTCTGTCTGTGTGTGTGTGTGTGTGTGTGTGTGTGTGTGCGTGCGTGGTGTGTGAAGACACAAACATAGTAACAGTGAGTGTTGACCCGGGGGACTGGACAGCGGCTGGACCCAGACAGCCCTCAGGGGATCTGAGCCAAAGACCGTGTGTGTCTCTGCAGCAGCTCTAGGCCTCTGTCACTGTCTCACTTCAGCAATATCTCTGCTACTCCTCTCTGTCCCAGAATGACTCCTAAATACAGACACACATGAGAAAATATGTCTTTGTTTTGCACTTTTAAAATTATTCTGATTTCTTTGGATAAAATGGTGTGTATTATTAATAAACCTGAACCCATGGGCAATTTTATGTCTCAACGATTGTTCATGTTTTTTGTGTTAGGGGAGACCTGCTTGGACATGGAGAACGTGCAAACTCAGTACATAGAAGTTTGTTTGTATAGCTTGTGCATAATTCTGTGCTACTCAATTATGAACAGCACAGGACAGGACAGCAACTCAAAGTGCTGAACAATCCTTCAGTTGTATGCTGATAAACAGTTCCGAACATTGTCAGAGAAGAAGCCGGTCTCACGTATTCGGGAAGATTGTTCCAGATTTTAGCTGTATAAATATGAAACTCTGCGTCCTCATGTTTAGTCCTGACACTGGGACCAGCAGAAGGCCAGTCCCTGTGCCCCTCAGAGTCCGAGCTTTGACTTGTCACTATGACCACAGGCTCCTTTCCAGGTGTATTCGGTCGATAGGGATTTGTTTTTAATCTGTTGCAAAAGCAGGAGGTTCTGATGCGTGATCGTTCGGCTAAAACCTCCTATTGTTTTATTCATCGCCGCAGACAACCGTGATTCTGTTATTTTCAAGCGGCCGCAATCCAACCTCCAGTTCTTCCCTGAAACAACAAAATATTCAAATGACTCATTACTTTGTGTTTTTATCTAAATTATCTCATGCTCATGTTTTGCCTTGCCAAAAAACTGAGCCCTCTAAACCATTTCTTAACCATTAAAATCACCCAGAATATGGCTAAACCTTGCTCTAGTCACTTTTGTTCCAGAATCCTCCATCTGAGAGAAATGGCCATCACTGTAAAGCCGATATAGGAGGTGATGCTGAGGGCCTCCCACGCAGCCTCCGACACCTATTCTGTTGTCACATTTACATGGTTCTGTCTGGAGAGGCTCCTGGTGAGAGGCAACAGCAGAATGAGCTTCCTGTCAGAGAGGGAGAGGGAGGCAGAAAGAGGAATGGATGGATTTTAACAGATGGTTCCATGCACTCACATTCATTTTACTGCAGCAGGAAGGAACATGTTGTAGTTTGGGCATTTCTCTTCCAAAATGTGTGTGTCTGTGTCTCTCTCTCTGTGTGTATGTATGTATGTCTATCTTGCTCTCTCTCTGTCTGATTCTCGCTCTGTGTGTGTGCGCGTCTCTCTCTCTCTCTCTCTCTCTGTCTCTGTCTCTGTCTCTGTCTCTCTCTCTCTCTCGCCACTTGGATGGTTTGAAAGAGATATACATGCAGATTGATCCATCCGCTTTAACCATCCGCCGTCACTACATTATTTAACATAATTTAAAATGCAATCTGAGTCACTGCATTTCTATTTTAACTATACATCTTGTCATGTAATGCAGGGATACTGTGCTGTATAGTGGTATTTTTTTGCATGTTATTTAGACTACTATTGTATTACAACTACTAAAGGAATAGCTCTCTGTTTAGTAAAAGTAGTTCTCCAATGCAAAAAGTTTGGAGCCCCCTGCTGTAGTTACGAGAGGAAGTGGATTGTTCTGGTTTGTTCCTGATAACTGTTACACCCTGGCTCTACAGGTGCAACATAAAGGACAACAGGCAACTAAAAGTTAATATAATTTATTAACAGAAACAAAAGTCTAGGGAGATAACACAAAGAAAACCAAAAAAGGGGAAGGCAGGTGTGGTGGTGAGCAGGGCTGCTGCTGCCAGGACAGAGAGAGAGCGATGGGTGGAGTCAGGGTGTGGTCTTATAGACTCCCAGCAGGGAACCTGATGCAGGCTGGAAATCCTGGAAGTGGATCCTGGAACTGGAACAGGTCTGCATGGCAGCTCCACATAACAATAACATTAACAACTTAACAAGATCGCATAAAGTATTTCATAATTTCCGATGTTGCCGTACATTACTGTATTGTTCTAGCCCCTTTTGCACTTTTCTTCGTCTCCATGGCTCCAGAGACAACTTGGGAAATCTCTGACTCAGAAATCCTGAGGCCTATAGTTGCATAGATGAGAAACCTTTATTCGTCCCCCAGTGGAAATTTCAATGGCATTATTGCAAACGTTGGAGCAGAAAAGGAGAAGGAAGAGCTCTCGCGTTGCATCGAACAGAATCTATTATTTAAAAAATATACAAATAATAAGAACAGTTAGGAGAGGATTTATTCATGACCATCCTGTTGTTTTCTGATAATGCAAATTTCTGACATTTATTTTGAACAGGAAGTGGCATCTGTGACATTTAGGACCTGGATAAAAAGATGATTGATTTTAGCTGAAAGTAATTGTGGTCCTTTTGTTTTTGGGGAATTATTAAGTTTTTAATATTGTCTAAACATTCTCATGCATGCAAGTTTAGTTGTGTTAAAAATCCAAATACAAATGACAAAACAGCTCAATAGTCTACTCTCTGGTTCTTAAAATCCTGCCAATATTTCAGAATGAACTGTTCTTATACTTGTTACTGAGCCGAGACCGAGCCGATGTTATTGCATTCTGATCAGAGTTCATCACAGAAGGGAGGGTATATAAAGAATGCAATGATTCTGGCCATGTTTTATAGAGTAAATCTAGTTTTAACCAATGGTGTTTTTCAATTCAATGTATTTTTGTATCGCCCTAAATCTCGGAAGACTTTACAAAGCTGTCGATTTTGCCTACAAAGATCAGAGAATCAAACGGTACCCTTTACTGGTGGTATTTTTAACGTTTTATAAATGTGTGCAGTCCATTAGATTCTTCCCTGCTGCTACATATCAAGGCTTCATCATCAGAACCTCATTGTAGCAAATGGTTATCGAGCTCTATTGAAGCAAGTTGGATAAGTAGCCGTCTTTATCAGATAAAATGCAATGGGGAAAAAATTATACGGCTGATAGAGATTGTGAAAGTTGTCCTACTTAAAATGAAGGACCGCTCTCATTTAAGTGGGACACAATCTGTAACTGCTTAATGCTGTTTTTTCAGTATACAAAAGAAGAATTGCAAAATGTCAAAATACCAAATTTAAGCTAGCAGAAAGAAGCAAATTAGAATAATACAAATGAAAATTTAAAAAGAAAAAAATATAAATACATTACACATAAATGATCATTATCTCCTTATGAACCAATGCGTTTTTCATCATTGCATTTCTTCTGTTTGAACTGTTTCATTCTCTGGTTTGTCGTTGGCGAATCGACAGCTTTGTTCAGTCCTCTCCGATAACCACTGATGTGATTTAGGGCAATGCAAAAATAAATTGAATTGTATTAATCTTTGCCCTTTTTTATTGTGTTATTCAAAGCAACACTCACTGAAAAGAATGACACACAATTACGACCAGATGCATTCATTGCATTTAGATTCTCGCCGTCCTCCGCCGGCCCCACACGTCCCTCGCGTCCCACTCAGTGTAAAATGCCAAAAGCACATTTAATAGAACATCATAAATGCCCTTTGAGTTCTTTGTTCGCATCCCCTTTGCTGACTCCCATTCTCTCCCCCTCTGCCCCCCCCGCTCCCCCCACAGCTGGTGACGTGCTCCGGTGCATTCAAAGAGGGCTCCCTCCGCATCATCCGCAACGGCATTGGAATTCACGAACACGCCAGCATCGACCTGCCTGGGATTAAAGGTCCGTCCTCCTCTCCTCACACCTCACTCTCATCTCACTCACGCCTCACTCTCACACGTGTCTTTGCCGTCTGCTCTGGATTCGTCCCCCTCCTCGCTGCCTCTGGAGGCCTGGCATCTGTCTGCCTGGACAAACAGCTGCAGCACGTGCGAAGCAGGTGTTGTCAGGGTTAGCACGAGGATGGGGAACGGGACAGGGGCCAAATCCACGCGGAGACATCTGTGTTCGTTTAGCCGAGAGCAGCAGCAGGTTGATGGTTAATCAATTATGTTAACCCTGCCAGACACTTCTTAAGCTGTTGACATTAGGAGCAGGTTTAAGTCTGTGGGCTCTGAGAGCTCTGGAACATCAGGCCATTTGGAAATGACAAGCCTTTCAGACAGGATTCTAGCCTCGAGACAAACACAGTATTATAGAAAAAGATTGGAGTTTGTTATGACAACTGTTGCATGACCACAAGATGACATTAAACATGGAGCACAGAACTTTTCCCTCTCATTAAATGGGTTAATCTCTATTGTGTATCAAGCATTGTGGCCATGTCGGCAGGTGACAGCCAGATCCTGTCAGACCTCTGAAGGGCAGGGTCTGGTTAGAACTGTGATGGAAGACCTCTGAGAACACCAGGTGCCACAGCGGGGCGGCTGTAAAGTGGCAAACTGTGGTTGTGTCCTTACGCAAGACACTTCACCCGCATTAGAATGAGTCTGGTGTGTGAATGGTTGGTGGTGGTGGTGGTGGTGTGGGGCTGGTGGCACAGACCGGTTGCCTCGCTTCTGTCAGTGTGCCCCAGGGCAGCTGTGCCTAATGTAGTTGCTTCTGGTGGCTTCTTAACAGTGGCTTCTCTCCTTTAAATACCCTGTTATTTCACAAGTGCAACCTCAGAGCCTGATTATAGAGTGTGCAGATTGTCTTGTGTGTATCCAGTGGGCAGTGAAGGCAGAAGAATTTTAATTTCATGCCGCCTCAATTCTTAGTTTTCATAATATTTGTTTACTGTAGCAGCAATGTAGGCACTATTCTTATTCAACGCTCGTATTTTAGTTTTATTCAGCTGGAACGAAGCACCGTAAAAAGCAAAGAAAATATTGGAGTTTGCTGTCGCTTTGACCCCAGTAAGAAAAGACGACAGCCCGAGAGCACAGGTGTGTTTCGGTCGCTGCCTGGGCTCATTCCCTGGACCCTCTGTGATGCTGTCCCTGTGTCCTCAGGTCTGTGGCCGCTGCGCTCTGAGGCCGGCAGAGAGACTGACGACATGCTGGTGCTGTCCTTCGTGGGGCAGACGCGGTGAGAGTTAGTGTGTTTGTGTTTATGTGTCTGGGTTTAGGGTTTGTGTGTGTGTGTTCGTGTCTGTGTTTGCGTGTCTGTTCATGCCAGTGCTGCGTGTTTGCGTGTTGGTCTCTTTGTCTCTGTGCGTGTGCGTGCGTGTGTCTGCAGGCCGGATAAGTCTCCTCCACATAACCTTATCTTACCCAGAGCCAGTGTGTGTCTGAGTGATTGTGTATGTGTCTTGTTAGTGTGTGTGTGTACGTTATCTGACTCTGAGAATGTGTGTCTGTGCCTCAGAGTGTTGATGCTGAGTGGAGAAGAGGTGGAGGAGACTGAATTGCCAGGATTTGTGGACAACCAGCAGACGTTTTACTGCGGCAATGTGGCTCACCAACAACTCATTCAGGTTCGTACTGATAAGAAAGTCCTCCACAAAAAAACACACACACATGAAGACACACACAAAAACACGTCTGTTTTTCCGGGTAACAATCAGTATTATCCATCTATGAAAGAAAATTACCTCCTGCTACAAAGAACCATGTACGTTACAGTTGTTTCTTTATTATACTAAAGCATGCTCTTCAAAACTGAGGCCCAAGAGCCAAATGCGGCCCATTGCGTCATATGTGGTCCTATGCCTTGCTAACCCAAAATATCATTGAGAATATAAACACAGGTTCATAGTGTCATCCAGCCAACTTCCACTTCTCCAATACAAGCATGTTGTACATCATTGTAAGGCTCAAACCCTTTTGAATCCATTTATTTGTATGCAATGACATTAGTTTTTTCTCATTATAGCACAGAATGTGTCTCTGATGTAGCTATTGAGCAAGATTTTCCACTAACATCAACGATCACAGATGTTATATATGTTTAAACTAGGGCTGTCAAACGATTAAAATTTTTTAGTTGATTACACAGTAATGGTGAGTTAACTCACGATTAATTGTATTTTTAACATTCTATTTCAAATCCACTTCAATTGAAGTTAAATGAGAATGTAATGACACATTGTCATTCATACCAAATACTTAAATCTGTTAGATTTGCTCACAACCTTTTGCTTTTGGGCACAACCAAAATGAGCTGTTTAATGAAAGGGGGAAATTTACGAAGCCCAGCTTTAATTCAGCCAGTTTAGTTCAGTTTCTGGAGGAGACTGTCGCGGTGTATTTGCGTGCACAGGTTACGTACAGGTTGCAAAGACACGAACACAATATGCAGAGAATAGTTCTGTAGAGTGTATGGTCTTATATGACCATGTTACCGCGGCGCCATTCGCTCACAGCCGTGTTGTTGTTAGCGGCAACCAGGGCGGCCGCGGAGGAGGCGGACTTCAGTTCATAACAAACAAGTGCCCCGCGGTCACGCGCGTATTCTTTTAAAACTTGAATTCTCAGAGGGCCTAGCTGCTCTGATGCCATCTCACACGCAGCATTCTGAGTGATATTATGGATAAATGGGCGGGTCATTTGGACATGCGTTAATGCGTTATTTTTTTTAACGCATTAATAAAAAATTTAGTTAACTTAACTAATTTTGACAGCCCTAGTTTAAACACTTGTTTTATCTCATTTAGCATCTCAAAATAGACCAATTCTAATCAAAATAGTTTTACAATCCATGTTGTCGGCCCCTGGACAAATCTGGCAAACTAAAGTGGCCCTCTTTGTTAAAACTTTGGACACTCCTGTGAGATTTTGTTATTTTAGTATAGAGCCATTTCTCTTGTGCTGTGTGCTCCTTCTTCCTACTGTTCTGTAACTGCTGATGCAACACTGACATTTCCCCGCTGTGCGAAAAATGAAGAATCTTAAAACAACCATATTTTAAACGTCACCTCAAACTCACAAAGGCTCTAACAGCAGTTTAATGTTCTCTCTCTCGGGCTGCGGCTCAAAAACCTTCCAAGCAAAACGGACAAAACACAGCACTTTCCATAAACCTGCGAGAAATCAATGGTACAACACTGAGCATTATCCACATCACTGCTGCTGAATGAGACTTTTCTCGGGTCTCTCTCTGGTCTCTGTGTGGTCCCTCTCTGTGTGGTCTCTCTGTGTGGTCCCTCTCTGTGTGGTCCCTCTCTGTGTGGTCCCTCTCTGTGTGGTCCCTGTCTGTGTGGTCCCTCTCTGTGTGGTCTCTCTGTGTGGTCCCTCTGTGTGGTCCCTCTCTGTGTGGTCTCTCTGTGTGGTCTCTCTCTGTGGTCTCTCTCTGGTCCCTCTGTGTGGTCTCTCTCTGGTCTTGCTCTGGTCTCTCTCTGGTCACTCTCTCTAGTCTCTTTCTGATTTCTCTCTCTGGTCTCTCTTGCGCTATGTAAAGTTGAGGTATGTCTGAGTCTCTCCACCAGAGGGAGCCACCCCTGGGTATGATCTAAGTTCGGGCTGTGTGCTCGGTCTCACTCTGGTCACAGAGAGAAAGGGAGGACCAGGACGAGTGGAGCCCTGGAGGGAGGCCTGATTCTGAGCCCAGGACCATTAATGTCTATGTTGTTAAGGAACAGTCATTGCCTCGGTTGCAATGTTGCGGTTTCTCATCAACTTTGCTTTTTAGTTGTTGTGCCGATGCTTGTTTTGAAGTTTTTCAAAGGTTAAAAGATAAATCGATTCAATTCATAGCCCTAAAACCCAGTGGGAGAAAAGTGAGAAGCCTCGGGGGAGGCCCACATTGAGGGAGGGATCTACTCCCACGAACGGACGGGCCGTAGATCCAGGACTGAAGCTGTAGACCTAGATTTTAAAACTTGGGGCAAAGTTAGAATTCAAGTCTGTAATAGTGAGATGACAAAACAGGATCTTGCACTGAGGCAGTTTCACCAATATTAACTCTTGTACAGAGTCACTCCAGTCTCTAAAAAGGCCTCTGGCTTTTTTCTGTTTTCACAATTGCATATAAACAATAATTCTAATATAAATCTTTGCTGCACCAGGGTTTCCAAATGCACGTATAACATTTGAACCCAATTTAAGCCCATTTGTTTCCCTAATGAATATTTTATGCAAACAAAGGTTTATTGTCAATATGTTACACTTGGCTCTAATGAGTTTAAAAACCCAGCGTTCTGAACAGATTTACCTGCTGCTGTTTATTTTGCAGATGCATCTACTCTAAACACAAACGCACACACGCACACGTATACACGCACACACAAACACGCAGTCACACACATAGTCACAGTCACACAGACCTGCACAGACTTGCACACTCACTCATTATTCTATCTTATTAGTTATTGCATGTATAAGTACTGTACCAGGAGTGAGTAATTAAGATGATTCTAACCTATTTTACATTTATTTCAAGTAATATCAAAATAGATCCATCTTCTGCACTTCTACCTAGTGTCAAATCCAAAACGAGTTCAGTTGATAAAGTCATTAAAATGTGGCCACATTATGGGTCCTTGTGTCCTTATGCAAGATTGTGTGAATTGTTGTTGATTGATTTTTAGTATCTATTTTGAAGCTTCTCCACTCTTTTAAATAGTGTTTTTCTGTACAGCTGTCAGGTCAGAAATCTTCCCTATGAATTCACCCGAACTAGACCAAGACCCCCATGTTTTGGATGAATTAGCTGCTGACAGTGAGACTTTGATCCATCAATATAGGGCTATGAAAGATCAAAAGATAAATCTCATCTTTGTCCATGATAATGAGAGTGGCAGTAGTGTGAGGGATTGGTAAAAGCAATTTATAACAATTCTCCTGCTTTTTTGTAAATTGAAAGACGAAGGGGAATCTTTTTGGGAGACATTTTCAATTATTGTGATACATTTTCCCCACCTCAGCTGAGCCCACACGACCACTACACAAAGGACAACCAGCTGCGTCCTACTTTTCAAGCATGACAATTGTAAAGTCAAACCCTGTTATGGAGGCTCAAGACCATTCTTAGAGAAACTGTGCAACTGTGAGTTTTAAATAATTTAACTCTTTGACCGCCAGCCATTTTTGATGACTTCACCGAGTTTCAGGACTCACAGAATATTGTGTGCTATGACTATGAGAAATATGAAACAGGATTCTGATAGATTGGACTGTGCACTTTTTTTATCAGCAAAAAGTTTGTGTCTAGCTTGCTTCATTCTTCTGGAATCGCCAGTCGAAAAGAAGAGTGTGACAGAAAGCACCAGTCTTGGATAAAAAGCTGAGAAAATGAGTTTGTGAATACAGACGCACCATGCAGAAAAGTGATTATAGCACTATTTAGTTAACTTTAGTGCCTCCTTAAACATGCCCAGTGTCTTACATGCTAGAAAACAACAAGTTTTGAGAAAATGTTTTTGATGTAAAATGATGTTTTATGGCACACACACACACATCCAGTTTGTTGCTCGAATGTTTAAAAATGTAATCATAAAAAAAACTTAAATTTACAGAATGAATTTAGAATGAATTTTTTTTCTGTACTTTTAATGTTTTATGTCTGTATTTGTCTGTGCACACTGGAGACTTTTGCTAATATATTCCAATGTGGTGTTTTTACTGCAAATGGCTAATAAATTGAATCTAAATTTGAATCAGTGGACCAAGGAATCTGTATGATTGTCAAATGTTGATGCTGATTCCCATGACCAGGCAGCTGTGAGGCTGGACTAATGGGAGTATCAGTATAACGGGAGTGTCTGTGGTTGCAGATCACCTCGGGCTCCGTGCGGCTGGTGCTACAGGACAGTAAGGCCCTGGTCAGTGAGTGGAAGGAGCCCCAGGGCCGGAACATCAGTGTGGCGGCCTGTAACCACACACAGGTGGTGCTGGCCGTGGGACGGGCCCTCTACTACCTGCAGATCCTCGCCGGAGAACTCAAACAGATCACGTGGGTCTTTCGAGTCCTGGGACAGATTTCACTAATGCATGCTTCAATTCGATTTCAATTCAATTTGTTCTTGTACAACCCTAATGGTGCTTTCAGACGTCGGGTTTCAATGCAAAGTCTATGGTGACGCGCGTTCGACCGTCGCAACGCACGGACCTCTCGGCACGCACGAACGGACTGTTCAGTAGACACGCACGGACTTGACGGGAAAGTCAAAGGGGAGGCGCAGGTGCAAAAAATCAACGCCCACAGGAGATGGATTCTGCTCATCCTTTCCTTGGGACGTTTGTGCGACAACCAATCAGAGAGCCGCAAAGTGGTCACGGGGACATTAGCGGACTGAGCGAGCAGACTGAAAATACTCATAAACGGCCAAAACAGGACCCACACCAGACTTCACCAGAACTCAAACCAGGGTTGGGGGACTGTGTGCTTGTGAAAATATGCGTTGTCATGCTCGCGTGACCTTATGCAACTGCTTCGAGTGTGTTCACCGATGCATAAATTCCGTTTAATAATATGAATAAACGTATGGCGCACCTCCGTGAACACATACTACTGTTATATAAAACCCGTGGAAAGTCTCTGTTCAAAGACACCCTGCAAAGCTGAATATTGGAGAAGATCTGTACACAAGAAGCCGCTAGCATAGCTCTGTTAGCATCAGAGCCGGCCGGCTACTTCCGGTACTTCCGGCTCGCGTCAGGACGTTCTGGTGTGAAGTCCTCTGCGTCTGAAAACTAGAGAATGTGCGTCTGGTGAGCGGGGCTTCAGCGTTTCAGCGTTGCCGGTCTGAAAGCACCATTAATCACAGCAGTATCTCGGAGGACTTTACACAATTGTTGAATTCGCCAACACAGATCAGAGAATCAAACAGCCATTGGTCCATAAGGTGCAGAGACCAATGTGCATAAATGTGGTTGAATGTGGAGTGTCCTGGATCATCACCTCTGTCCTGATGTTAGACCAATAATAACCACTTAACTATTTTCAGTAGATCGTATTTGAAATGAAACAATGATTAAATTCACAAGTTTTAAAAGTATGTGCTTTCTTTTCCATTGACTTTTGAGACTGCATGCTCAGATTTGGTCAGGTGAAATGTATGATTTTCCAGCTTCAATGCAGGGAGAAAGAAAGTATTTGGACTTATTTGTGTTTAAACCTAATTCACAGGGTTCTCAACATTCAACACTTACAGTATGGACATTGTTCATCTCCCCCTTATGGACCAATACCAATGTCTTTGCTGTTGTATTTTGTATGTTAGAACTGTTTGATTCTCTGATCTGTGCCGTCTGAGATAACTGCTGTTGTGATTTAGGGCAATACAAGAATACATTGAATTGAATTGAGCAGTGTCCATAAATGTGCAGAGAAAAAGATCAGCACTGAGGTCTATGAAGCAGCAGTATTATCACTTAAACACTTCTCCCTCCACCTCCTCGGGTCTGCAGCACCACAGAGATGGAGCATGAGGTGGCCTGCCTGGACATCACTCCTCTGGGGGAGGCGGGCAGCGAGTCGCCCCTGTGCGCAGTGGGCCTGTGGACGGACATCTCTGCGAGGGTTCTCAAGCTGCCGTGCTTCACCGCGCTGCACAAGGAGATGCTGGGAGGAGGTGAGAACACGGGGAGTATTGTTAGCTGTTGGGGTAAATCGATTCTGGACGGCACAGTGGCTGAGTGGTTGCCTCTCTCGCTTCTCAGCAAGAATGTCCCTGGTTTGAATCCAGGTCTGAACAGGGTCTTTCTAAGGGGAACAGAGACAGAAACGGAGAGAGATTTCCTGTGTCTGCGTAGGTTTCCTCCTTGTGCTCTAGTTTTCTCTACATTAAAAACATGCACAATAGTTCTGAAATGTAAAGAGTGAGTGGGTGGATGGTGTTGGTTGGAGGGTTTGATGCTCCAGTGTTTTCAGAGAGAATGAAACAATATCTGAACTCTGAACATGATGGATATGTTTTAATGCCTGATTTAAACGCAGCTACAATTGGAATACTTCTCAGTTCATTGAGTGCCACAAATGAGGAGCATACAAACTAACGATTAAATGAAAAGATAGATTTATAAATAGATTGTTCTAAAAGTAGCTAACCATAGTATTAAAATTAAACAGTACTTTAGGTCGCAGCAGCAGAGGTGCAGCCACTTGGTTCGGACCATTTTCTCTGCTCTGGTCCAAAGTGAAATGCTGAATGCTTTGTTGATTTTTGCCTGATCCTCTTTGTTTGGACCATGAATCCTCTGTGCTCCAACCTGGTCCAGTGCAAGACTATGAACACCAGCAACTGTAAAACACAAAAGTTTCCAGTGCATTGAAAAGACACTGGTTTGAATATTGGTGAAACTGTGTGAGTGCAAGTTGAGTCCTGTTGTGTCATCTTGCTACTACTGACTTGACTTTCAACTCTGCAGCCATTCCACTTTCCCCCAGCATTTGAAATGGTCTCTTTTTGGTCCTGACATTTGGGACACACGGTAAACCTGTCCCAGACCTGAGACCTGAGGACCCTAAGGATAAATAATAGGTTTATTTTTGCATCTTGCGTCAGCAGCCACAGAGTCTCAACAGTGTCCAGAATCCTGAAACCACTTAACCACGTCTGACCTTTAACACAAACATTGGTCGTGGTCTGTGAGTTGGAGCAGAGCTGTGTCCAGTGCAGATCTTTAGTCTGTGTTTAAAGCAGTGAAGCATTTCCCTCTCTGTCACCAGCTGCTCACCCAGGCTCATCCGACATAAGCACTCTCCACATAACAACGTCACAAAAGTCTCTTCAGAGGGAGCAGGGAGAGACCAGAGAGGGAGAAACCGGAGAGGGAGAAACCGGAGAGGGAGAAACCGGAGAGGGAGAAACCGGAGAGGGAGAAACCGGAGAGGGAGAAACCGGAGAGGGAGAAACCGGAGAGGGAGAAACCGGAGAGGGAGAAACCGGAGAGGGAGAAACCGGAGAGGGAGAAACCGGAGAGGGAGAAACCGGAGAGGGAGAAACCGGAGAGGGAGAGGGAGGCCGGAGACGGAGAGGGAGGCCGGAGAGGGAGAGGGTGAGAGAGGCCAGAGAGTCTTTATCAATATGTCCCCCCTTATAGATTAACACTGCTCCTCACTCAGTAACACTGTGACATTCCTCTGTGTTCTCTGCTTTAAATTCAGTGAAAGTAGAAACCACCGGCTCTTGTTTAAGTTGTAGAAAGTCTGCTGCGGCCCCAGAGCCATAACTCATAGACTTTGTGTCTGAGGCGCTTCCTGACACTTCCTTCTGGTTACCGCGGGCCGAGCAAGTCACATAATGACTTATTTGGTCTTTGTGCTTTCAGAGATCATCCCTCGCTCCATCCTCATGACCACGTTCGAGGGCAGCTACTACCTTCTGTGTGCGCTGGGGGACGGGGCGCTCTTCTACTTTGGGCTGGACCTGGCCACCGGTACGTGCTGCTCTTTGGAACAGTCAAAAAGATCTTTAACCCATCCATTTTTCACACTTCACCCACATTAGAATGAGTCAAGTATGAATGGTTTGTGGTGGTGGGAGGGGGCCCATGGTACATACACATCTCCACCTTAGGCCAAGTGTAATAACATACGGCATTTTAAGTTTTTTGAATGCAAGATTTTGGGGCGCTATTTATCAATATATAACGTTACGACTTCAAAACTACTTACAATGTGCAGGATATTATCCATTCAAGGTATTTTTTTTGTGGAGGGGGGGAAAGGAGGGTTTTAGGGAGGGAACCAGGAAGTGGCTACTCAGGTCCATGTTGATCACATACATTTCTACAAAGGTTTCTATGCGGTGGTATAATAAGTATAATGTGTAAGCTTCACCTTTGCTCTCCTCTCACCCAGCTCTCTCCTCAGCATTAGCACTAACTCCTGTCTCTCTCTGTCCTCTCTCTTTCCTCTTTCCTCTCTTTCCTCTCTTTCCTCTCTGTCCTCTCTTTCCTCTCTGTCCTCTCTTTCCTCTCTGTCCTCTCTGTCCTCTCTGTCCTCTCTGTCCTCTCTCTCCTCTCTCTCCTCTCTGTCCTATCTCTCTCCTCTCTGTCCTCTCTCCTCTTTTTCTGTCCTCTCTCTCTATTTCTCTGTCCTGTTACTGTCCTCTCTCTCCTCTCTCTACTCTTTCTCCCTCTCTCCTCTCTGTCCTTTCTCTCCTCTCTCGCTCTACTCTTTCTTTGCCTGCTCTCTGGCCTCTCTCCTCTCTCTCCGCTTTCTGTCTCTGACGTCTCTGTGTCCTCTCTCTCTCCTCTCCCTCAGGTGCCCTCAGCGAGCGTAAGAAGGTCACCTTGGGCACCCAGCCCACCGTCCTGAGGACCTTCAGGTCTCTGTCCACCTCCAACGTGTTCGCCTGCTCCGACCGTCCTACCGTCATCTACTCCTCCAACCACAAGCTGGTCTTCTCCAACGTCAACCTGAAGGAGGTCAACTACATGTGCCCCCTCAACTCTGAGGGCTACCCCGACAGGTGACATCACACAACACCAGAACCTTACTATTTCACCTCGGTGCAGAGAGAGCACAGGCCGAGAGAGCACAGGCCGAGAGCACAGGCCGAGAGGGCACAGGCCGAGAGGGCACAGGCCGAGAGGGCACAGGCCGAGAGGGCACAGGCCGAGAGGGCACAGGCCGAGAGGGCACAGGCCGAGAGGGCACAGGCCGAGAGGGCACAGGCCGAGAGGGCAGAGTTCAGTTCAGTTAATGTACAGACCATAAAACATGTTCCTCCATGTTTGTAAAGTCTTTTAATAATGTGAGGGACATGAATCACAAAATATCACAGAATCACATTCTGTCTGTATCTTGAATGTTAGGGATCGTAATATTCAATTGTTGCCCAAATATTGCAACCAGCAGCAGCCCTGTGTTAATACATCACCACTTTTAAACAAACTGATCTGTAGTGCGAGTCTCCCTCTGTGTCTTTCACCTCGATAACCGCCATGTTCCCTCTGTCCTCAGTCTTGCTCTGGCCAACAACAGCACTCTGACCATCGGAACCATCGACGAGATCCAGAAGCTGCACATCCGCACGGTGCCTCTGTACGAGTCTCCCAGGTCAGACTCTGCAAACACCATTCTCACTGCTTTATATTTGCACTCTCTCTGTGCCGCTTCTGGGGTTTGCTCTCATTTTATCATTTACTCTTCCCTCCTCTGCCTTTTTGCTACAGCTGCTAGAACATATTTCTCATCCTAAAAGTCTGAGCCGGAGCCAAAACTTTACTTTTTCTTTAAATAAATCCATTTTCTATGCTCCTCATTCTGCCGACATGTGTTCTATAACTTCTCATCACTTTTTCTTCGCTCTTCGCTACTTTGTGTGTGTGAACTTTCAGTAAAGAATTCAATTAAAATCTTTATGTTTATGCTTTATAAACAAGACAAAATGTGCAAAAGTTCAAGCTATTTTAACACTTTTGCAAGGCACTGAAAATCTGAAATTGACTGATATAAAATTTAAATCTGCATCAATATGTTACATAATGATTTTTACCTCCACTCTTACAGAATATAATTGTGAGGAGGCGACTGCTGTTTCACAGAATTAATTCAATTTATTCAAGCGATGTTTAAGATCCTTTATTCATCCCTCAGTGGAGAAATTTCAGTGTTGCATCCCCAGGAGCTAATATTACACTTTATATTCTAATGCAGAAATAGATTGTATTCTGTTTACATCTGTACATGTAGCAGCATGAGGCTCTTGGACAAAGTGACTCAGTAAAGTGACATGTGGTTCTTTTGCACATTCTGACATAAGTTCAAAATATTGCACTCTAATTACAGCACTCAAGGAAAGACCACTCTCTCATGTACGTGCACAGAGGGGCAGCTTTCTGACCAATCAGAGCTGCTGATCAGAGTGGAGTTCGAGCGGGAGGAAAACCAGCAGAGTTTGTTTCACTAAAGAGTGGATTTAAACAAAGTTCAGAACGACAAGGGACACTAAAACCCCCACAAAATCCGACTTTATGAAAGCTGTAGGTTCTCAGTCAGGTTCTCTGTCAGCTGAGGTCGAGCTGTTTTAGTTTACATTGATTTCTATTGTACATTTTTCTGGGTAACGTAAATGCAGTCATACTTAGTCTGCAGTACAGGGTGGGACAGCTATAAGCTAGTAATACTCTATCCACATATTGTTATAGATTCATGGTTATAACCCAGAGTTCTTGTTTCCCTAAAAACCTGCACTAAGTAGACAATGAATTCCTCATGATGCAGTAATTCGACTTTATCAGTCATCAGTCAGAAAATAATACTATAATTATAATGTGTAAGATTAGAGGTTGTTTGTAAAGTAAACTGCTAAACTCTGGCAGCTCAGGAAAGCAAAGGAGTCTGCTTTCAGGGAGGGGGACCGCAGCGGCTACGAAGCAGCTAAATATCAGTTCAGGAAAGAACTGAAAGCAGCCAAGTCCCGGCACAGAGAACGACTACAGGAGCAGTTTGGTAACAACGATACTGCTTCTGTCTGGAGGGGCCTACGGGAGATCACCAACTACAAGCCCAAAGCCCCCCCCTGTGCTGACGACCACAAGCTAGCTGACAAACTGAACTTATTTTTCAGTCGCTTTGATGCTGCCCCTGACACCTCCCCCACCCCCCACTACTCTAACGACCCACCCATCAGCCCTGCCCCCAGCCTAACAATAGCTTCTAAAGAGATTAAACAACTCTTCTTGAGGCTGCACCCCCGCAAAGCTCCTGGCCCGGACCACGTGTCTCTGGCCACTTTGAGACACTGTGCCAGTGAGCTTACTCCTGTGTTCACGGACATTTTCAACACCTCTCTGCAGTCCTGCCATGTCCCGGCCTGCTTCAAATCCTCCATCATTGTCCCCGTCCCGAAGAAGCCCAGGATTACAGGACTCAACGACTACAGACCTGTAGCACTTACGTCTGTCGTCATGAAGTCATTTGAACGCCTGGTTCTCTCCCATCTCAAGTCCCTCACCTCCCCCCTCCTGGACCCCCTACAGTTCGCCTACAGATCCAACAGATCTGTAGACGACGCCATTAACCTGGCCCTCCACCACATCCTACAGCACCTGGACTCCCCGGAGACCTACGCCAGGGTCCTGTTCGTGGACTTCAGCTCTGCCTTCAACACAATCCTGCCATCCCTGCTCCAGGACAAGCTCTCCCAGCTCAACGTGCCCGATTCCACCTGCAGGTGGATCACTGACTTCCTGACAGACAGGAAGCAGCGAGTGCGTCTGGGGAAGAATGTCTCGGACTCTCGGATTATAAATACAGGTGTCCCACAGGGCTGTGTTCTTTCTCCCCTGCTCTTCTCCCTGTACACCAACCACTGCACCTCCAGCCACGACTCCGTGAAGCTGATCAAGTTCGCGGACGACACCACCCTCATTGGACTCATCTCCAACAACGATGAGTCCGCCTACAGGAGGGAGGTGGACTGGCTGGTGTCCTGGTGCAGTGGTAACCTGCACGCTGAACGCCCAGAAGACAGTGGAGATGATTGTGGACTTCAGGAAGAGCACTGTCCCCCCGCCCCCACCCTCCGTGATGGACTCCCCCATCACCTCTGTGGAGTCCTTCCGTTTCCTGGGCACCACCATCACCCAGGACCTCAAGTGGGAGCCGACCATCAGCTCCCTCATCAAGAAGGCCCAGCAGAGGATGTACTTCCTGCGGCAGCTCAGGAAAGCCAAGCTGCCTGCACAGATGTTGGTGCAGTTCTACACGGCCATCATCGAGTCCATCCTCACCTCCTCCATCACCGTGTGGTTCGCTGGAGCCACAGTCAGGGACAAACAGAGACTACAGCGCATTGTGCGCTCTGCAGAGGAAGTGATCGGCCGCAGCCTTCCATCGCTGCAGGACCTGTACGTCGCCCGAGCTCGAGGCCGGGCTGGTCGTATCACAGCCGACCCCTCTCACCCCGCACATGGACTATTCCAACCACTCCCCTCAGGCAGGAGGCTGCGGTCCATCAGGACTAGAACCTCCCGCTACAAGAACAGTTTCTTCCCCTCTGCTGTTGGACTCTTGAACACTTCTTAACCTGTCCCCCCGCCCTTTTATAAAGTCACTTTACTGCCCATCATACGTCACTTTACTTCACTGTACTGCTGTCACCTTACATTGTGTGCACCATGTGCACTTGTATATTGTAAATAGTAACTGTAACTCTATTTTAAATTTAAATGTATTCCTTAGAAGTGTTTTTTATTCTTTATTTTTTATTTATAATCTCTTTCTGACTGTTGCACTGAGCCAAGTCTGTAAATTCCTGTTACTTACGTGGCAATAAAAAGGATTCTGATTATTGGCTGTCCACTCAGTCCCTGTGTTCTCTCCTGCAGGCGGATCTGTTACCAGGAAGTGTCTCAGTGCTTCGGCGTGTTATCCAGCCGTGTGGAGATCCAGGATGTGAACGGGACCACGTCTGCGGTGAGGCCCAGTGCAAGCACCCAGGTGAGCAATCCCAATAATTGTAATATCATTCCAACAATAACAGGCCTCAAGCATGGTGCCGTTTGCATGTGTCTGTATTCATTCATCTTCAGAATATTATTTCACTAACATGTCACAGATGTACTTTGAGGCCATGGAGAGTCAAACAGAGCTGCTTTAGGCCATGTCCACACCTAGCTGGGTATTTTTGAAACTGAATATTTCCCCCCCTCCGTTCATAAATTAACTCATCGACTGCCAGCCCATTTCAGAACAGGTACTTTCATATTGCCAGCCGTTTCTGATGGTTTTTTACTGATTTTTAAAGACCCACAGCATATTGTGTACTATGACTATCTGAAATCCAACACCAGATTCTAAAAGAATGGACTGCTTCTACTGGATCTACTTTCATCAGCAAAAAGAATTTTGTTTCTAGCTTGTTTTGTTCCCCTGTAATCCCCAGTTGAGTAGAGGGAAGTTTTACTGAAATCACCAGAAAGCTGAGAAAAAAGAGGCACAGCATGTGCATCTAGCTGTTTTCAAACCATTCAGAGAGCAATGCTGCCACCTGCTGGCTAGATAAAATATGGTCTCAAGCCATCCCCATACATATTAGATACAATAGACATCTGGGAACATGAAAATGGCGGGAAAGGCAATTGACGTGTTAAACACAATGTTACTATTTACTTTGACGTATTTGTGCGTCAATGGCACACAATGAGTTAATTTGCATCCACACATAACCGAACATCTGCGTTTTCAATCACATTCATAACATTCCAAACATGTGCGTCCTCTGACGTCCTGCCTTGGGGAAAAACACAGAAGTGGGCGGAGCTTTGATGCTGACGCCGGTTCTTCTGTAGCGGCACTTTTACAGTCACAGTAGAAACCCAGGGTAAAGACATGATTTACAAGCACTATCCCCCGTCCTCAGCCCTGGTTTAATCCTGGTTTACCTCCTCCTGTTTTGGTTGTTTTGGAGCGCTAGTCCCACACTTTGCTGCTCTCTGATGTGGAGGATGTTCGCTGCTGCTGTGAACCGCTCGCAGCAGCTGACAGTTTTAAAGGCAGTAAGATCCATGCTTCTTCAGTGATCAGAGATCGCATGTTTTGTTTGTTGTTGTTTTGGGGCATACTGTGACGTTCGGAAATGCGAAACTCTGGTTATCTCAGTGTTCACGCAAATGCATGAACAGTTTTCAAAAATCTCCTTTGCCCGGAGTTTCTTTATATATTTGTTTATGATGCTTTGTCATGTGGATGACGGGTGGAAACAAAGAAAAATGTTTGTGATTTAGCAGATACCCGGCTACGTGTGGACGGGGAGCCACAGGTGCAGAGACCTGAGTACAGGACTAATGTGCATGTTCTTCCTGGTTCTAGTGAGGACTCGAGCTGCAGCGTTTTGATTTTTGACGCGTTTTGTCTGTTTACAAAGCACGTCGTAGAGTAGCAGGATCAAAAACAACACTCGGCCTAAAACCAGTTGCTTTAAAAGAGCAAAAAACGACTCCAGGTCTGTCTTTGATGTGGAACAATGTTGCAACACTCTTTGAATCATACATCACATTTATTGACTTTAGTTTGCGACATGTTTGACGCTTACTCAGACTTTTTAATTGCTCCCAGCAGAAGTGCTTAATTTTGTTTTTGAGAACGATGTCGACCACGTTTCCAGCTCCTTCATCACAACAAGTTTCTCATGTTCTTTCCAAACTAAAGGATTGTGGGTAATAAACACCCAGGGGCCTGCTTTGGTTTTGATTCGCTGACGATGTAAAAATATTCATACCCAGCTGGGGGCCGCGATGCTACGGTGAGCGTTCCGTTTAGCTGCTGAAGAATCACATTTGTTCTGGCAGTTTTTTTTAAAGATGCTCGAATCAATTAAAGTCTGAAGGGTTTTCTGACAAAGGTTTTTACATCACTGCTGGATTTAATTTTAGTTGTTGTACAAATGTGTCTGCTGCGGTAGAAGATGTCTCCAGGCCACTTCATTCTAAATGTTAATACACAAGGCAAGTTTATTTGTATAGCACAGTTCATACACAAGGCAACTCAAAGTGCTGAACCAAACAAGAGAGAAACAAAAATAATCACAGTACATTTAAAAGAGTAAAGATTCCCTCAGTTGTTACAGCAAAACAGAACAGAAATCTTTGCATCAATATGAAACTCTGCCTCCCAGCAGGAGGCCAGTCCCTGTGCACCTCAAAGTCCAAGTTGGAAGAAACCTGCAGAAAAATTAAAATGAATTCAATTCTCCCTAAATCACAACAGTAGTTAACTTATCTCAGATGACTTTACATTACGATTTAATTCAAACACAGATTAGAGAATCAAACAATTCATTCACAGAAAATGCAATGATTAAAAAAAGCCTGAGCTGCCTTGATCTTTCAGCAGGGGCTTCAGGCAAAGAGGGGTTAAGTGTCTTGCCCAAGGACATGACAGCAGACATAGTATATGTCAAGTATAGACAAGTATACATGAAAACAATACTGAATTAAAGGCCATATGAACTACAGCAAATGCATTATACAAAAGTGGAAACACACAAAACAACTTCAAGCACTGAGCAGGAAAACTGTCACAAGGATTTATTTTTTAAAGAATAAAGTTGTATGTTCTTAAATGTCTAACGTCCTGGTCCTCCTCAGGCCCTGTCCAGCAGTGTGAGCTCCAGTAAGCTCTTCCCCAGCAGCACTTCCCCTCACGAGACCTCCTTCGGGGAGGAGGTGGAGGTGCACAGCCTGCTGGTGGTGGACCAGCACACGTTTGAAGGTACGACTCTCTAGACACTCGGTGAGCTCAGGCAGAGGTGCAGAGCAAACTCACAGTAGACACCTGTGGTTCTATGTTGCACATTCTGACATTTTAATGTATTACAGAAATGCAGTGTAGCAGATTTCTCAGAACACCTTTTCAGTTTTGACCCTTCAGATAAGATACATTTTTATTCATTCCCTTCATAGTTGCACATTACAGCAGAATAGAAGGAGGAATGAAAGCGCTCAGATTATGCACACACAGAACAGGATCTAGTATTCAGGAAATAGATGATAGAATAATAAAAGTAAGATGATACAACTCGGGAGCTATAATGGCGCTCGGTTCAAGGATAAGTCTCTTGTGGCGTATTCCCTGTTGTCACCAGGAGGTTTTTTACAAATGTTTATATTGTACTTTACCAGCAGAGAATATGACCAGAATAAACAGTAGTAATAGCACCAGGTGAAGTGACTAGTGGATTATCAGGACGGGTGAATGGCACGTGTCCAGGCTCAGAAGTGCTTAATCTACAGTCGAGAATCACAGCTGCAGATCATATCAACAGCAAAACTGGCACTTTTACAAAGAAGTAGAACCTTTGGAGAAAAACACAGCATCACATTCCATGGCTTCCACTTCCTTCAGTTGTTTGACTATGAGACCAGTCGCGGAACAGGACTGGAGAGTGGACCATCTGCTGAGACCAGGAGGGGTACATCAAGGCGTGTTTGTTGTCTCCCTAAACACCAGAATCACAGCCTTCTTATGAGGCCATTAGAGCCGCGATCACACACACACACGCACACGCACATACACACACATTGGGAGCACTGTGTCGGTGGGTGAGAGAGACCGAGACATGGAGAGAGAGAAAGAGAGGTTGGGACATAAAGAGAGGGACAAACACAGAGAGGGGGGCAGAGACATGGCGAGAAAGGGACACAGAGAGAGCAGGATAGAGAGAGATGAAAAGAGAGAGAGAGGGGGACACAGAGAGTGGGACGGAGAGAGAGATGGGAACAGAGAGAAAGAGAGGGAAAGAGACAGAGAGGGACACAGAGAGCAGGACAGAGAGAGAGAGGGAAAGAGATAGAGAGAGGGGGAAAGACACACACACACACAGAGACAGGGACGGACTCAGAGACAGTTGCTCCTGACGGATTAAGGGCCAGAGAACAGGAGTGAGTGTTGTGGGGCGAGAGGCGCTAAAGGCTTTCTAAAGCCTAGCGTACATCGACAGAGAAACTGGGGACAACTAGTTGCAAGGCAGCTTTTGGCAACTGAGAGGAGATGATGGAGATGATCAGTTGCCGAAATCGGTTGATGTGCGCGCTCTTACAACTGGAGATGAACAGTCGGTCTCCAGTTTCAGTCAGTTGCCAGTGTTCTACTTTTCGGCAACTAGTTGTCCTCAGTTTCGGAGATATGACCCGATGTGCGCGCTCCATGCGCCGCTCCGACAACGTGTGTGTATTGCGTGTGTTGCGAGCCCGCAACAGTTTATGTCAGAAAACACACTGTAGTTGAGGCCAGTTGCTGTCGATGTACGCGCTGTTATTCCCGAGACTGGTCTGCTCCTGGAGTTGCCCGTTTTCGTCAGATTGTCGATGTGTGCGGGGCAGCAACTCATATGCGACGGATATAATCAGTTGCCAGTCCGATGTACGCTAGGCTTAAGGGTAAGGAACATTCAAAGCAGCAAAGGCCCAGATGCAAAAAAAATATTGTTTTCATTATTTTTTTTTCCATTGAGACCAGGAGTGTTGCTTCAATGCGTGGTTGTAGTCTCCCTTATGAGGCCATTAGAGCCACAATCACACTAGCCCTGTGTCGGTGGGTGGGGCCCGTCACGCGTGTCTTCCTCTTCTTCTGCTACTCTTCTACACACTCGGGCTAAACGATGGGAGCAGCCTGCTTTGCATTGCAGATGATGCTGCGTCGAGCTTTTCCTTTCATATAGAGAAGTACCACCTCTGCACACGTTAGCCTCTGTCATATGGAAATTCATGCTAATCACCCGCCGCTGTTTATCCATACGCCCTCCTCTTGATTTGCAGTACTTGTGTCAAATTTACATCGCGCTAGCCACACATAATGTATTCCCTTATTTTGATAGAGCACACCGTATGAATAATTTCTATGAGTACGGCAAAGACTCTGGATGTTGCACTGGATGAGGCCAAAAGTGTCTGTACCATACATTTGATAATGTTTTGATTGCTGAAAGTGCTCGTGTTGGTCCCTTTGATCTTTTGATTTACCACAGAAAGAATCAATAATAAGATAAGAGAACCTTTATTTGTCCCACAGAGGAGAAATTTTAAAGTTGCGGCGCACAGACAAGACAGTAGTAAGGGCACAGTGGGAGCATACAAATATACAATACAAGTAGCTGCCAAGTTTCAGAGAGAGAGAAAAAGACGGAGGGAGACAGACAAACTCACAGACGCAGTGTGAGGTGGGGGTTCGTCTAATTAGGTGAGTGGTCTGCGGGTAAAAGGTGAGCAGGTGTCGGAATGTCATAGAGCCGTTCACACAAACTCATTACTGCTGATGTAAAGAGTCGTGTCGGAGCAGGGGCCAAAGAAAAGGAGTGCGTGCTGTGAGGTGAGAGGCTTTCAAAGGGTACAGGTTTTCAAAAGCAGCAAAGGCCCAGATGCATTCTTCTGCCCTTTTGTGAAAACTGGAAAAAGAACAAAACTGTTGTGTAAACAGTCATTAGAAAAGTTTAATGTGCTCAAAAAACGGGGAGAGTGAGAGGCCGTTTACGTGGAAACACTGCAACAGTAAAACGGTAGAGTTTGGTAATGAATTTACGCTAAGACAGTGTTTCAGGTGAAAACATAAACGTTGAGAGTGGAACAGAACAGAAGGTGTTTCTCAGCTGTGTGAATAAAACGGTGTGAATTCTCTTCTGCGATGACCTTAGCACTTCCTCCACGTACATTTGGACGCAGTAGAACAATAATGGCGGTGGGTCGACTAATGCTAAATGTGCTTCGCTAACGAAGGAGGATTCTACTCCTTCGTCCAAACCAAACCACAGCTGTAGTTTCACTGCTGCTGTTAAAGAATGATGTTGGTTCTTCCCGTCTTTGCGGCGGCCTGAGGAGGATGTTGTTGAGGAAAGGATCGAACTGGTGGGGATCTCGTGTGACGTGTTGTAAAGTTTCACTGCCCCCTACTGCCCCCCTTAGCTTTCACTTCACTGTTGTCTGTTACCCGTTTGAACTTTCAGTAAAGAATGTGTGTGTTTTAAACATGACGAAAAGTTCAAAGTGTATTGGTTATTTCGAAAGCCATTCTATAAATGTTCTTCAAACTACTTTTTCTTCAAACTACTTTTGCTAAAAAATACTTGCTTCTTTATTGTGCTAAAGTTCCTACTGGTCTGTAACTGGTGATGCAACACTGACATTTCCCTGCTGCTCCTCATTGACATTGTGAGCTTGTTCTCTGTAGTAGTGACCGTTCCTCTGTGTCCTCTGTGCTCCAGTTCTCCATGCTCACCAGTTCCTGCCCTGTGAATACGCCCTGAGCCTTGTGTCCTGTCGTCTGGGGAAGGACCCGGCCGTCTACTTCATCGTGGGGACTGCCATGGTGTATCCAGAGGAGGCGGAGCCTAAACAGGGCCGCATCATCGTCTTCCACTACACAGACGGTCAGTTTCTGCTCCTGCATCTACTACTGATTTAAATCTACACGCAACTAGGTTAAATCCTCCAGCTCCGGTAGTCCTGACCAAGCTGGGCATCAACATCTGAGGATGGGTTCCCGTGCGCTGTACTACGGCGACGACTGCTCCTGACGTAAGCCTTAGCGGCTACTTATCCCTACTGCTGTCAGACAGTATAATAAGTCACTTTAAGTCACTTGTACTAGGACTGAAAAAAACCAGCACTACTTATTGACACGGTTTCTTGATTGCCACTTTTGAATTGCCACTTTTTATTGTACATAATACTGTATATCATGTTTGCACATTTCTTTCTTTTGCACAATCTGAGTGTTTCTATCCATGCCAGATGTGACATGCACATTTCTCCTCTGTGAGATCTATAAAGTCTATCTTATCTCTGCTCATCAGTTCTTCTCTGCTGTTCTCTTCTCTCTGCTGGTCTTTTAAAGTGCCTGTTCCCATTTACTCGTGTTGTGCTGGTGTTTGGAGACAGCTTGATCCTTCCCGTGTTGTCGCAGTCAATGCCTTCTCCATTCTCCTCACACACTGCGGGCTGTGTCCTCGCTGCCGGCCGCTCACTTCATCATTCTCCCATCACTTCTTATCTGTGCTCTTCCTCCCTGTGATCCTCTCCTCTCTGTGTTTATCCACGCCTGCTTTTTACATTCTGCTGCCGTCCTTATCCGCGGCCCCCTGTCTTTTGTTCACTTTGCTCGCGCTTGTCCTCGCGCTTGTCACGCTACGCACCGTTCTCTGGGTTCAAGCTGCGGACGGGCAATGTTTACCGATTAGGAGAAGAACGCTTTAGACTCGGGTAAACTCAGGCCCGTGGAATGATTTTCTATTATCATTATCACAGTAACTTGCAGCATTGAGGGTAAGGGATACTTCTTCATTTTAAAGCCGATTGTCTCAGGAAAACACCTTAGAATTGAATCTGTTCTAAAATGTTAAGATTTAGTTAGAACTTAAGTTAATGCACAAGTCTTGAAATTCTTAATAGGTATGGAATTTTGAAACACTTTTGAAGTCTTGAATTTTGTGTGAATGTCTTAATAAAGTATGAACAAAAATTATGGTAGAATTTTACATTTTCTCAAAGGCATTGTGAAATGAGAAATAAGAAGGTAGGCTATAACACTATAATTTTTCTAACTGGTCACGTACTGTATTGGCCTGATTAAAAATGTTATCCAATCAACGCTTGCTTAGCCTAGTCTGGCACATTTTCGTGATGTCACTGCTGAGGTCTATTGACACACAGCTAGCCTAGTGGTCAACAGAAATGGGTCGTTGCGTTTTTTTAAAGGCAGCAGGCACACAAGTATACAAATACATAAAGTTAAGGTTTTTTCTCCCGCGCGTCTGTCTAGTGGTGAGATGTGTGTAACGATAGGACTTTGTGTTGCAGGAAAGCTCCAGACGGTTGCTGAGAAGGAGGTGAAGGGAGCGGTCTACTCCATGGTAGAGTTCAACGGCAAACTGTTGGCCAGTATCAACAGCACGGTAAGCGCTGGTGATCCAAGATGTTTTATTGTACTTTGAGTTTAATGGGATATTTTTTTGGAAAGCCCTTGTGAATGTATTCTGTAGAACCGCTGTTATACAGTTATTATTATAGATCCATGGGAAAGATCCTTTCCCACGGGATCCACACTCACTTCATCTCAGACCCAAAAATGTCTCAAGGCTCAATACTGAAAATATTTAGTAATTTGTTTATGGACATATATTATTTCTTCTTGTCATTCAGCATAAACTTGTGTGTGTGGTATATATGTATATATATAGTATTTATATATAAATATAGTATTTATATTTTGTGGTGACAATATATAGTGTCACCACAAAAAATCTCTAACAATTGTCTCGTGCAGAAGAACCAAATAACTTTTTACTAAGACGAAGAGGTTAAAACCTCCTCAAGACTTTGAGACGCTGGTCTCCAGATCTCACCCCATTGAAAAACTCTGGAGGGAAATGAAAACATCACTGCTCTAGAAGAGAATGGGCTAAAATACCTGTGTGTGAAAAACTTGTAAGACTCAAGCTGTTTTTTTTAAATTTTGCTTTTGATTTTGAATACACTGCAAAAAATATATAAAATATGAATGATAAATGCTTGAATCAAGTGTTTTTTTTATCGTAATCTGAGCAGATTGGGACTGTTCAAACAAGATTCTCCTTATTCCAAGAACTGCTTTATTTTCCCATTCCAGGGGAGATATTTCTTGTATCTTTTATTCATAGATAATTTAGTTTGTCCAATTGGCAAGTTAAGGCAGTCAAAATGTGCTTATTGCAAATTTGAGAAATTCTTACTTATTATTAAGTATTATTATTTTTCATTACTTTTTGCAGTGCAGGGAGTAGTGCTTCCTCGTCACAAAAAGACCTGTTTTCTTCCTCCTCCAATGCTCTTTACTCTGCACTTTTCTAAACGATCAGTGCTTCCAGTTCAAAGTACTGAGAGTCATTAGGGGTAAAGGGCAGATTGTTCACAGCAGTTTACAGTCGCTAATGCTCATCAACTGCTAAAATATCACATCCATCTGTCGGACCCGGAGTGAGGCCTGTCTCTCATGTCTGTGTAACTTTTATTCATAAAGAAAATAACAATGTACATTCAGGGCCATCAATCTTAGAAAGTTTAAAAAATGTTTTTTCATAAACATGATCAACACATTTAGTTTACTGAGCAAAAACACTGGATTTTCACCCAAAAAAAAATATTTAAACTCCATTCACAACCGTGGCGCTTTGCTGAGGCCGAGCAAAATATTGCCATAAAATAGACAGAAATTTAATCAACCTGTTTTTTTCGCCGGTTCTCACATGTGGAGCAGAAGGGAGAGGGTCAAAACTGCGTAACAACCCCTTTCTGTCAGAGTCTGGGTTTTTGCATGTGCTGCTCTTCCCTTCATAAAGCTGTCCTCGTATATAAAGGGTTATTGCTTCTTATTTGCAGTTGATAATATTAATATTTATAATATTTTATATTCAATTTTTATTTATATCACCCTAAATCACAACAGTAGTTTTCTTAGAGGACTTTACAAAGCTGTTGATTCGCAGACACGGATCAGAGAATCAAACTGTTTAAACACAGGTTATGCAATGATAAAAACACACAGAGCCATTGGTGCATAAGGAGCAGAGACCAATGTCCATAAATGTCCTGGATCACTTCTTTTACCATTTTCAGATGGTAAAGGAATACTACAGCATGTTATACTTAATTTGAAAGCTTATTTTCTCAGGAAACAGCCATAATTACATTTGCTCTAAAATGTTAACTAACTTATAATTAGAAGTTCGGCCCAAGATTTTTTTTATTGAAAAAAAAAACTTTGACCCAATTGTGGTTGAATCCAAACCTGCTAGAAAATAATTTAGAAATATGTAAAAAATATAAAACATAATACAAGTAGTTTTGGCCCCAACTAGCTCTTTATTTGTTTTTACTCAAGGATTCTCTGATCTGTGTTGGTGAATCGACAGCTAAGTGAAGTCCTCTGAGATAAACTTCTGTTGTGATTTTGGGCGATGCAAAAATAAAACGAATTGAATTGGAAAAACCCAGTGGAGAAAATAGCGGGACATCTCAGGGAGGCCCACATAGAGGGAGGGATCCACTCACTTTGTCCTGTATCTAAAGAGTTGTGTTGTATTGTGTGTTGTGTTGCTGCAGGTGCGTCTGTACGAGTGGACCGCAGAGAAGGAGCTGAGGACAGAGTGTAACCATTACAACAACATCATGGCTCTCTACCTGAAGACCAAAGGAGACTTCATCCTGGTGGGAGACCTGATGAGGTCTGTGCTGCTGCTGGCCTACAAACCCATGGAGGGAAACTTCGAGGAGGTGAGTCCAGACACACTTAGACGTACTTGAATACCTAAATACTAATAAAACTACACTTAACACTACTATTTCTCCGGTGAAATTGCGTGGCTGAGTTGCGGTAATTTTTCGTATTGTTTACCCATAAGAATTAATAACAGATAGATAGATAGTATCTAGCATGGATTGTAAATAGCAAAGATCGATATATACTTTATTGATCCCTGTAGGAGAAATTCAGGTTGATATTTGCAGAGTCTGTTTGGTTTGGGCCATTTTCATAGTATTTTAACTCTCTATGCACATGGGTCATTTTGGGGAACCTTCCTCGCCTGGTTTTTTGTGTGTAAAATTGCTCATAAAACAGTCATCTTTTGATGCAGAGTCAAGCAGATTACTTTGTTTTTTTCAGTACAACCTGGGGTTTTAGAATATTCATATTGTAAAGCTGTCATATAAATTATATAAAAATTATGGAATCATGAAGACAAAGAAAAAAATCAAACGGAAAATCAATTTAACAAAAATGTATTGAAAAAACACAATGAAATGCTATAAACAACTTTTTACACTGCATAGAAATGTTATTTATGGACTTGGGGATAATGGGGAAATAAAATGAATCTCTAACCATTATACTTTTTACAAAATTCCACTATAAAAGCAAAAAACTCTGTACTCCTGATGCCCTTCCTGAAGCAGTTTGTCTATAATGCTGGGGTTGCTTCTGTAGCACAGCTGTAAAACACGTAAAACATAAGAAACTTAGACAAAAAAAAAACATCAATTATTTATATAATACATATATTTATATACATCATATACACATGTCATTTTACTGTATTTATTATCGTTTTTATCAATAATGCGCACTCTTCAGCCGGTATTTGCAATTGCAGCTTTAGTTTCAACTGTGGGACATCAAGTACAGACAGAGGAGTGAGAGATCTCACTCTCTGACGATCTTTGGCAGTCCCCGTGTGTTTGTATCTCACAGTTGTTTGTACCTCACGGGTCACGCTTTGGACACGGACTTTCAGACAAACATAGTTTATCCTCCTTGCATCGCACAGACAAATCAAAACTAGTTTCGGAAAGCCCTGAATGTGTACTTCACAGAGGGAAAAAAAGTAAGTTGCTACGTTGTACCGTTCGCGAGTAAATTGATCATTTGTAAAACATGTGCGCATGCATCGGCGCCGATGCAGACGGGTTCATAGGGTTAAAAGAAAAACGTGAGTCTTATTTGGCCAATAATGCGTATATTTCTTTAAGGGAATTCATGTAGTGATTTGTAGTTAATGTCCTGTGCATTTGACCCATCCCCAGTGTAGTTGACAAGGTTGCAGACAAAATGAGAGAGAGAGGCGAGCAAGAGTGAGGGATTAAGATTACTATAGCCCACAGTCGAGATACACGGTACACGGCTGATACCAGTGGGAGTTTAATGGTTTTTACATTGATACTATTGTAATAATGAAAAGCATGTCCGTAACTGGATTTCCTCTGTCTAATGAAACAGCAGCCATTACCTTGGTGAATTGTGATGTCTGCCTCCATCTCCATAGCAACAAAACCTTCCTCTTTTTGTAAACATCCTGGTTTTAGAAAGAGCACAATGCCCTCTCATCAGGCTTGTTTTAAAAAGTTTTATCTCACAGCCAGACTGTTAGTTTCTCAAATGTAAGAACACATTTTGGTGAGAAATGTCCCGGCTCGGATATTTAGCTGGGCATGTATTTTTGGCATTTTCCCCCTCGTCCCTTGACAGTTTTTAATCAAACGGAAAGTGAAGAGAAAATGATTGATCCGTCCCAGAGTCCCAGGCTCGCATTAGTTCTTATGTGTTCTCTTCTTGTTTACTGCAGCAGCCTGGCGTTCTGACAACATACTTAAAGGGGAATGAAGGGCCATAGATTAGAAAACATAAGGGTTTTAGCTTTTTCAGTAGGGTTGCACCGATACTCTTTTCAAAACCAATCAGAGTACCTTAATTTGAGTACTGATACCGATACAAGTACTCCATCCATCTATCCCGTACAGCATTGTGTTATCCCTGAAATTTTAAAATGTTATTTCTAATTTTAACAATAAAAAAATGCTTTAATAATTAAACATTTTAGCAATTGTCTTAAGTCAACAATAAGAGCCACTGTCATATTCCATTAATGCAAAGAAATACCTGCTGTTTATGTCACACATGAAGTTTAAACTTAATATAAATAAGCTTGCCTGCCGCTAGCTTGCTTTGTAGCTTGTGAGAACAATGAAAAACCCAAATGTTGTACTTTGTAATGTATGTTTTTATAATGATCTATGTAAATGTGATGTAATTTTATGTCTTGGGGACCAGGTCTGCAAGTTAACAGTTTGCTACACGGCCTTTGAACATGGCATCTGTTACCTGTAACAATGCTTTTCATTCTGTCCCTATCAAATAAATATATCATAATACAAAAACAGCTGCCATCTTTAGGAGATCACCATGGCAACACGTACCGCACACCTGTCTGCTGTCGTGACACTGCTATTAACTTAAAATGTGGGTATTGCTTCTTGCATTGGGTCTTATGGTATGAGTACGAGTTCAAGCCTATGGTATCGACCCGGTATCGGTGCATCCCTATGGTCTCTTATCTAACACACATGAGTCTCTTTACCGGCTATATAATTTTTTTTACTACATTATTACATATTCCATTCATCTGATATTTCCCTCGTCACGTTATCTGCTGCTTTCCTGGATTTGAGCTGAATTGACTGAATTCTGTAATTTAAAATGGGTTATGACAGGTCCATATTGATTCACACTAGGGCTGCACGATATTGGAAATTATAGCGATATTCGAAATGAGTTAGTATTTCAATAACGATATCATTGCGATATTTCTGTCTTTCACCTAAAATTGCAATCTGCATTGAAACTTAAGCGACATATAACAAAAAATATGCACATTAATGACATCCAAATGCATATATTGATATACTTTTTTGTATTGCGCATCTTTTCAATATGGACATCGCACGCACCATTATCGCGATGACAATATTTTTTTCAATATATTGTGCAGCCCTAATTCACACCACAGCTGCATTTTATTTGAAATAAAGTCAACGACTGGATTCCAGAGGGTCTGAGATTAACAAAAAGGTATAGAGTGACTGTATTGGTGGAGCTGAAGTTGGTTGGATGACACTGTCAAAGTGCCTCAATGGCAACTTTGGCAATGGCCCTTCTGCTGCGAACACAGAGGGTTTGAACATGCCTGATTTAAAACATCCGCGTATACTCCACTGGTGACTTATCCAAACCAAGTGACATTGAAGTTTTATTGTATTATTTTTATTGTTGTATTTTTTAAAATCCAGTGGAGAATATTTTTTAACATATGTATCTGAACGAATTATCCATCCATCCATTTTCTTCCCCTTAATCCATTTCTGGGTTGGTGGGGTGGCAGTCAGAGCTGCACCCAGTACACATAGCACCAGCCCCTCACTGATCCTCCTGCAGGTGCTGAGTCCACAGGAGGATGAATTATATTGTAAGATAAACAAATAGGCTCAGTTCTGTGTCCCATTAAAAGCAGATAGAATACACCACAATAGAGGAAATTATGTATTATAATCAAACCAAATGACTATTTTGCTTTTTACAACTGGATTAGAACATGGAGATACAGTGGGAGTTTAATGATTTATAAATGAATATCGCAGCGTTAATATGACCCTAGTAATAAAAATATCATTTTGAGGTTGTTGCTTGCGGAGCTGGACGTCTCAGTCTAATGAAACTGCAGCCATTACCTTTGAGGAAGCATAATGTCTTTCATCTCCATAGTAACACACATCTGTGAAGAGATTATTTTTCAATGAAATAATGGAGCTTAAGAGCGTTTGAGCGGGTACTCTACACAGTCTATGGAAGCCACCAAAATCATCCGAGGACTGCATCCCAGACCAACAGTTTCAATATTCAAGATTGGTTATTGGACTTAGTTGCCTCCTTCTAGGCAGACGAGATCATTCAGTAAATGTTGGTTGTTTTATGTCCTTCATATCTTCATTTTTCTTTTATTAAGTTGCTATTACTTTAATTGTTCTATCGCCGTCTGAATACATAGATAAATAAAAGATTGGTTATTATGTCCCGGAATTTTGTCTAGGCTGCTACGTTGAAAATACACATAAGACAGACATAAAACACAGTAACACAGACGTAAACCATCCCTGCTCTGCTGCATGACCTGCAAGAGGTCCTCATGTGGGTAGGAACCAGTTCTTATACTGGTTCAGGTATCTTTTCTTATTTTTTAGTTTGTAATTTAAAGTTGGTGCTTTTGGTGTAGCGGGGGCCCTATGGGAGGAGCTCATACTGAGAGTAAAGGACATGAGAAGGTGCTGAGGTGATTTTATTTCTAATAACAATCTTGTGTATCTTCTGCAAAGATGGATGCATTCTAACTCCTATAACTTAAGCCAGCCATTCCAAAGTCAGTAACACCGCGCCCCCCTTAAAAATCTGACGGGTCTGCGCGGCCCCCAAAATACTAACCAGGAAGACGACATTAAAAATAGGCTCTTCTCGTTATTTTATTTGGGGGGAAAAGCCTCTGCTACAAACATGTAAATGATATTGTAATATGAGGCCACAATTCAATGTCATTGCGGTTCTTAACATACAGCATTACTGTGATAATTATAATTCTACAATATGCTTCCCTCTAAGTGTTCAGCCTAGTATTCAGCATCATTGATCCTTTGCTGCTGCTTGGTCCTTCTCACCTCTTACAGAACACTTGGAGGCAGCGTGTGTTTGGGTCGGGACCATGACTTCAGACGCTGAAAGTAGTGGTTTGTAATTGGGTTTCCCATCACTGACATCCGCAATCTCCTCCCGCGGGACACAAGTGTTCTTACAGGGGCCACTGTCGCTCCCCAGATCAAAGACTCACTGCAGGCGACGGTTACATTGTATACGGTTCACCATCCGATGGAGGGAAGGGAGCGGTGAACACTGC